CAGGCAGTAGAGCCCTGAGTGCTTCCTGGCTTCTTTCCCTATAGTCATTCATCCTCGTGTGTTCCGGGCCTGACGCAGACGCAGAACAAATAAATGCCTGAAGTTGAATTAAAGACCCCAAGCAGGCTCCTGGTATTTCCAGCCCAGGTGATGTGTTTTCCTAAGCTGTGTTTTCCTAAGGTTGCTGTATAGATAAAAGCAGGAGCACGCACCACTTACGGAGCCCAGCACGGCCTGAGCACCCCACGAGGAGGGTCCTGTTCCTGTCTCCATGTTAAAGCAGAACAGCCGGGCACAGGGTGGTCTTAGCCCTTAGCCATGGTTACCTAGCCAGTGAGCGGCAGAGGCAGGTTCTCAGCCGACAGAGACGCCAGAGCCTGTATTTCTACCCATCCCATCAACCGGGGGTGTGGGCTGCAGCACCCCTCCTCCGGCACTGAGTGCAGTCGCAGTTCCCCACGGCACTTCGACTATACCCTGGGCGTGTTCTCAGCTCAGTGTCCGCACTGCCTGAATGACTCCCGAGCACTGACCAGCCGAGGCCCAACCGGGGTATGTGCATGCACATGTGTGCATGTGTGTGCGCATGTGTGCGTGTGTGTGTGTGCACGCGTGTGCATTGGCAGCGAGACAGGAGCAAAATACTGAATTTACATAACCTCCCCCTGGCTTACTGTTAGGACTGTCCCTTCCTTGGTGACTCTTCTGGCGCAAGTCTGTCCTGCTGTCCATTCGTTCCCATCTTGCTGCTGCTCTCTGCCCGGTTAATCGCCTCACGAGCCCCAGTCTGCACAGTGCCCAGACGAGATCTTCATGGGGATTGTGGAAAACACAGTCTGTCGGTCCCTCTTCACTGCAGCTCGGGGCTTTCCTTTACGGTGAACCGTGTTTTCCGATAGACATTGGAAGTCCTAGCCCAGCCGGGTTGCCTAGTATGGAAGCAGGGCCACTTTCTAGGTCCAAGAGCCCCCATTTCCTTTCTCATGGATGGTAGTAGTACCTTGCAGAACCCGCATGATGGCTCAGATAGTCTCTGAAACCACAGAACACAGTGCCTGGTGTAGTGCGTCCTAGGTGTGCAGTAGGGATTCCTCCCTTCTTCACTCCTCCTTTCCTGGTCTTCTGAATGTCTACGTTAAGCCGCTCTTTGTGCCAAGGCGAGCCATCATGGGTCTTTGACACAGAAGAACGCTGTGGTTGGTTGGTGTTGAACTGCTGGCATCAGAAGAAAGCCATGCAGTTGGGGCTCATGGCAGAGAAACAAGCTATGCTTTGTGGGGTAGGCGGAGCTGCAGTTCCCATGGCCCGAAACCTCATCCGCAGCCGTTGGAGGTGTTGTGCCTGGTCTTCCAGAAGCACATCCTCACGTGGGGCCCAGTCTGAGACGCTGGAGCCAGCCCAGCACTCAGGACGTGCTGGGGACTCTCACCTGTATCCTGGGGCTCAGGGCACCAGCAGCCTCGGCTTGCAAGTTAATGGGTTACTTCGCGTAACACCCATGGTACGGTACTGGCCCTCAGCACGGGCGGGCTGGCCATTATGGGGGACTGACTGCTACGTGCCAGCCTCTGTGCAGACCTCTCCAGTCCCCCTAACACCAACACGTGACCTGCAGAACTTAACATGAAGAGCTACACTTAAGTCATCTCCCCCGAGTCTTAGACATGGGAGGTTGTGGAGCCAGATGGACCCATGGCCGCCCAACCCAGGAGCCCAGGTTTGTCCCGCTGCTTATCAGAAGGTCCGGCCACCCTGGCTGGCAGCACAGATGGCAGTGGGGACATTTGGACAAGGCTGGGATGGGGGATGGGCATCAGGTGCTATCAGAGCAGAGGTGAGCACAGGGGTCAACTTGATGCTGTGAGGAACAGAGGCATGGAAGGCAGGAGGGGTTTCCTTTTCACCCTTTGAGAGCTGTTTTTCATGTTGTTTTGTTTTTAAGTTGGGCGTGGAGCCCAGTGCGTGGCTTGAACTCACGACCCTGAGATCAAGACCCAAACTGAGATCAAGGAGTTGGATGTTTAACCGACTGAGCCACCCAGGCACCCCTCCTCCTCCGCACTGTGAATCCACGCATGTACAGTCATGTTTCTCCCCCTCCACCGTGCCCGTGTTGAGCGCTGCTCTGTGCATCTTTTCTTGGCCAATTAACCTCTTAAGAAAGTGAAAACAGGGCGGAAAAAGTGACGCCAGGCCTCCGTGGAGCCGTGCTGGCCTGCAGCCCCTAAGTGCTGCATTGTGCCCCCGCTCCCGCAGAGCGCCAGTGTTCCTGCCCTGGGTCCCCACCGTTCTCGGTCGCGTGGAAGTCTTTGAATTAGGACCCAGGCTCGGAAGCCAGCCTGTCTGGTAAATCCCAGCCCCTCCCTTGCTGTGGGGTGGGGGTTTGGGCAGATGCCTTTGTTCCCCAGATGTTCCTGAGTGTGGAAACGGGATGGTAGTGACCACCTCCCACGGCCGTGGTGAGGGCCACCGTGTGTGACTTGTGCAGAGCTTTTGTTGGTGTCGACGAAAGGACAGAGTTGTGTTAGAAGCAATAGGTCACTCTTTGGGCTCCGTCTGAGGGGTGAGGTAGGGGTTTGGGGGGGACCCAGTGGGGAGTGACTCAGGTTGGCGTGCCGGCCACAGGTGCCTGCATCTTACTAGCAGGAAACCCTCACGTAGCACCCAGGTCTGGTCAGCTGAGCCTTGACATAATCTTCAGCCATACAGATGGGCTCAAGGGTCCCCCTCATCGCCATGCCTCCCCTCCTGGTTGCTTTAGGCTCCTGTCCTGGGAGGGAGAGATGGAGGGGGAGGGCAGGGCAGGCGTCCTGAGCGAAGGGCAAAGCTGTGGGAAACAGGAGAGGCTGGGAGGGCCTGGCAGGTGCGGAGGGAGCCAGGGCTGCTATGTCAGGTTTCTTCTGTTGAAAAGTCATGAACTAGGTAGGGATTTTCTGTCACTGCCAGGAGTGCAGGCAAATCAGCACCAGGCTGGTGCCTGAGGACTTAACCAGGCCGCCCTCACTTCTGTGTCCATTTGCCTCAGGCCTGCCCCGCCCCCACCCCCTTCTCCGGAGGGTTCTGGTGGGCCAGCCAGGACCGGACCCTTCTTTGAGGGTAAATCTGATGAGTTCAAGGCCCCGAGATACATTACTATATGTGAATTACACCTGTAGGCCACGTGCTCTGTCCCCCGATGAGAGTCCCCTGCCCCCGCGGAGGTGGTTGTACCTGTCCTTGCTCAGCAGTGAGTGTGCAGTGCTGGGTGTGGGCACATCACACCCCACAGGGAGGCCTTTGGCGGTGCAGCTCTCGCACAAGAGGCGCTGGGTGGCGGAGACCGGTGGTATCGTCGCCTGCCTTGCCCCGGTGCCCAGGACTGTGGGCCCCGCTGCCCGGCGGGGAAACCATCCGTGCCCCTGCTGGGATCATTGCTGCAGACGCAGTGACTGAAGCAGCACCCTTTGTCATTTCACAACCCTGATGGTCTGAAATGGTGTCATCGGGCCACATCGTGATGTGGGCAGGGCTTTTGTTTCTTCCAGAGGCGCTAGGGAGAACCCGTTTCCTGCCTATTTCCAGTTTCTAGAGGCCCCGTGTGCTCCCTTCCTCCATTTTCCAAGCCGACAGCCTAACATCTTCTAGTCTCTCACTCTGGGCCTCCTGAGTCTCTGTAAGGCCTCTGTGACACGGGACCCACCAGATTCTCCAGTGTAAGCAGTGCTCATCCTTAACCGCCACCCCACAGCAAAAAGCCTTAGCTTAATCACACCGGCCAGTCCCTCTTGCCACCTAGGGGAACCTAGTCACAGGTCCAGGTGTCAGGGCGTGGCCACCCTCAGGGGGCGTTACTCTGCCTCCACACTCCTGTGTGGACATCATTTCTTCTGTTTTGGAGACCTGTGACCCCTGAGTGACTCTGCCCTTGTCACTTAGAAGCTCTGGGGGGAGCTTGGGCAAGTCCTGGAATCCTCTGAACCTCAGTTTCTCCATCTGCAAAATGCCCCCAGGACTGTCAGGATCAAATGAGTGAGTTTGCACTGGCAAAGTGGAGACGTGTTTGCTTCTCCCTGTACCTGTCTCTTGGTACAGCCGTTACCTTTCTCACATCATGCTTCTGGGGTGGAGTCTGGATGCACTGCGGTTGTGTGACAGCCGGCGTGAGGGTGCAGAGCAGTGGCTTGTCTGTGTGCTGCCGCTTAGTCCCTCAGCACCGTTTCGGTCGCTCAGGAAAGCTAGCTCCGGAAGAGGGTGTCCTCTTTGGCCCGGCAGCCCTCGCCTCTTTCTGAGTTATTTTCTTGGAATGACTCCCCTCTCTTGGAATCGTTGGTGAAAGGCCTCCAGCAGTGGTCTCGGAGGGTGCTGGGACCCATTTGCACGGCCACCACACCTTCCTGGCCGTGGGTGTCCCCTTTATTATTTTAACATGTATTCATCTTTGAGAGACTGAGACAGAGCATGAGCAGGGGAGGGGCAGAGAGAGAGGGAGACACAGACTTTGAAGCAGCCTCCAGGCTCTGAGCTAGTTGTCAGCACAGAGTCCGACGCAGCATGAGATCATGACCTGAGCCGAAGTCGGACGCCTAACCGGCTGAGCCCCCCAGGCGCCCCCATGGATATCCCCTTTAAGAGGGAGAAGAACCAGCATTCATCCTGTAAGCAATCCGGCTTGTGTGCAGGGCACTGTGCCGGGTGCTGGGGCGGCGGCAGCGACAGGCATGCGCCCCGCTTCCCCTGGTCACGGAGCGAACCGGAGCAGGAGAGGGCCGCCGCTGTTGTCTAACAGCCGGACATGGCGCCTCATCGTCCCCTCATTTGTATGTCTCTGTTTACTAATTATATCGAAAACAAAGTGGTTTTATGTAGGACATTCTCAGGTCTTGTGCCCCAGGATATGCAGTTGTAAGTGTCCCGACCTCGATGCTGCATACAGCCTTTCTCTGGGTCTCTGTCCCAGCCGGGCCCCCCGCACCCCTGTCCCCAGCAGTGTGCACTCACTGCTGGACGACGTGTGTTCCTAGGGACGGACGTCATGGTGCGCTGCCTCAGGCTGCTGAAGGAATTCAAACGCAAGGTCGAGGACGACCACGACCAGGATGACGATGAGGACGAGGAGGTCATCTCCAAGGGAGTGCCCCCGGTGGACATCGTGTACGAGCGGGACATGCTCACGCAGACCTACGAACTCAGTAGGTCCCGTTCGCTGCCTGCTCGTGTGCAGCTCGAGCACCAGGAGTACAGAGAGGTGCTGCCCACGGGTTGAAAGAGGGCTCTGCCGTGGAGGGAGAAGCCGTGGAAGCAGCAGGGAGCCCCGTGCTTCCCTTGAAGGGTTAGGCTTTGGGTCAGGTTGGAGCGGGAATCATTGCTGCAGAGGACATCAGCAAGGTGTCTGGGCCTCAGTTCCCACATCTGTAAAATGAGGATGGTAGTCACCCTAGCACGTGAATGAGGAATCGAGTTAGAACATCAGCGTGGGCCTGCAGTGTGGAGAGCACACAGGAAGTGAGCTAATGACATTTTATGCAAAGGTGTGAGAGCTATCTGCCATCTTCTGAAACTGGTCTGAGTCACTGCAGGTGGGAGTCTGGTGACAAGGGGGGAAATCACCTCTCCCCACTCCTCACCCTTTCCCTGGACCCCCTAAAATCCACATAAGACAGCCGTGACCCAGGGCTGTAGACCGTGTGGCCGCGGGCCCCTGTGGGAAGGACAGAGAAGGTGCGGTGGCCACAGACCTGTGATTCAGCAGCACATTTGAAGCCACACTGGCCTTTTTGAGGAGCCTTTTTTGGGCGTTTTTAGCAACTCTTTTTTTTTTTTAATTTTTATTTATTTCTAGGAGAGAGAGAGAGAGACAGCGTGAGCAGCGGAGGGTCAGAGAGAGAGGGAGTCACAGACTGAAACAGGCTCCAGGCTCCGAGCTGGCAGTCAGCACAGAGCCCGACGCGGGGCTCGAACCCACGAACGGCGAGATCATGACCTAAGCGAAAGTCGGACGCTTAACCGACTAAGCCACCCAGGCGCCCCCGTTTTTAGCAACTCTTAATAGCTCTCTGAATGGGTTCCTCAGGACACTTTGGGAAAAGCCCTTAACCCTCCCATGCCTCCTTTGAGCATGTTAATTGGTTCCATATGGGGACACATCCTCGTCCCCTCCTTCCACCCTCATGTTTATTGTGCACATATAACACAGCAAGACCACGTCACCCAGATGGCCTGTACCTGGCAGCGTCAACCATGCGCTGCAGCGGGAAATAAGGAGAGCCATTTCTGAGCAGAGTTTTCCCGCAAAGCCAGCCCCCTGGTTTGGGCGCTTTACCCGGGGGCTTCCCTGCCACCCCGCCCCACACCCACCCAGCTCTGTCCCAGAATCTCCAGTCCCAGAGCCATGGAGTACATTTATTTTTTATTTTTTTATTTCTTATTTATTTATAGAAGAGAGCCTGAGCAGGGAAGAGAGGCAGAGGGAGAAGAGAGAAAGAGAGTCCCAAGCAGGCTCCAGGCTCAGCCTGGAGCTCAATGCAGGGACCAGTCCCATGACCTGAGCCGAAATCAAAAGTCAGGCGCTCAACCGACTGAGCTGACCAGAGGCAGATACGGTCACAGCCCCGAGCAGTGACCGCAAGTAGCAGGACAGGAGCTGACAAACTAGATGGAGCTGATAGTAGAGCACAGTTGTCTGCTGCCGCCTGCCGCAGGGCCCCATAGCTTCACCTCCTCCCTGGCGGACAGCTGTCACAGGACAGCGCAGTAACCGGTATTCCTCATGCCGGTGTGTCTGAATCTGCCAAGAAAGCCAGGGAGGTGAAACAAGTTCTTAGTTAAAAACCATTTTTTAAGAAAAAAATCCATTTCATTTATCTGGAAAAGCTCCCTGCTGCTGGGCAAAAGCGATAGTGCCAGCACGGAGTACACCCGCGGCGGGCTGACCATGTGCTGGAGCACTGAAGGGTCAGCTGTTGGGAGTGGCACCCAGAGGTGCAGGGTAGGGCCAGGAGGGGGAGACACGGGGTCTGTTCTGCCCGCAGGCGCCGCTGCCCCAACCAGACCAGTGTGTGCAGCCAGCCCGAGGGCAGAGGGAGTGGGCCAGCCCGAGCTGAGGGCGCCATTCACCCCATTCACCCATCCTTTCCTTCCCCACAGTTGAGCGCAGAGGCACAAAAGGAATTTCCCAGGCTGAGATCCGAGCGGCCATGAACGTGGGAAAGCTGGAGGCCAGAATGTTGTGTCGTCTTCTTCAGCGATTCAAGGTTGTCAAGGTAACACCGCGGGCCATCCACGCACCACACTGTTCGGGTGCACCCGGCGTGCCGGCGATGGGCCAGCAAAGACACATTGCCTGCCGCCTCTGCCGCCACTGGCTGCCCGTGGGCGTATCGTGTCTCCCAACCCCCTGACTCTGCTTGTCGTCAGTTTTCGTTTTTTAAAAACCGAATGAACCTTCAGCACTGATAAGTCGGTAGAAGATGTGGCCACATGGGGGGACCCCCCCCCCAGGAAGCTGGCTAACCTCCCACTGCCCTTTCAGACAGGGCGGGTGCTGTCCAGGGGCCCCGGCCCCCACTCAGGCCTCCCTCTCTCTCGTCACTTGCCTAGGTCCTGGGGACACACGTGTGCTGGTCCCCTTTTGGAATTCATGCCTGCCTTCCAGCCCTTATCCTTCACTCTCTTCTTGCCCACGTTTCGGCCATTTTGCTGGAAGGCAGTCAAGCTGATGATTACAGAGTACTTAGTGTGGCCCTTGGCACGTGGTTGGCGTCACTCTTCTGCCGTTAAGGGCCCAGGAGAGCCCCTTTCCCCGTCCTGGAAGATAAGAGTCAGGGTGGGTCAGTGATGCCGTCATCCTCCATCCCACAGGCAGGGACCACATGGAGCTGGTGACCTCCAGTCTGTGACACGGTTCTGAACCTTTGAATTCTGCGTAGCTGACACTCACTGGGCCTGGGCCTGGGCCGGGCACTGGGGAGATGGGGAGGGCAAGTTAGGGCCCTGCCTTCAAAGAATTCCAGTCCCGTAGAGCAGGCACACGTCTGCTGGCCTCCACCAGGCCTGTGGAGACAGCACCTGAGGGACGGCCAGACAGGAGGACAGCGAGGGAGTGTCCGCGGGCAGACGGGGGGCCCGGGTGACGGAGGAGGTGCAGGAGAGATCGGGGGACAGACGCCACAGCCCCGGCTCTCCCCCATGCCCGAGTGTCACCACGCCCCCAAATGTGACTAAACACGTCTCCCCCCAGGGTTTCATGGAAGACGAGGGGCGGCAGCGCACCACCAAGTACATCTCCTGCGTGTTTGCGGAAGAGAGTGACCTCAGCCGGCAGTATAAGAGGGAGAAGGCCCGGAGCAAGCTGCTGGCCACCGTGAGCCTGGCCGCTGTGCCGGAGGTGGAGGACAGCCTCCTGTCCGACTCGGACAGCGAAGAGGAGCGCGGCAGCAAGAGGAGAGGCAGGCTGTCCCAGGGCGACGGGAGAGGCTGCTTCGGCGCTGGTCTGGGGACCCAGCCTCATCACTCCACCCCAGCGAAGGGTACGGGTGCTCCCGCACTGTGGGCAGGGGCCACCCCTGCCCAGGGGTCTCCAGGAAGTAGCCTTTCAGTTAGCAGGCACCTGAGGATGTCCTTGGTGCTGTCCTGATTGGGGACCTGTTGGCATCACGTGATCACGTAAGCCTGTGTCTAGAGCAGACGGCCATGTGGTTGGTCCCCTGGCTGCTTGCAAGTCAGCTCCCCTTGGCAAGTAGTTGGGTTTGTTTTGTTGTGTCTTTACTCTTAAAGGGATGGAATCCAGTAAACTTCCTCTGTCCCCTTCTCTCTGGCAGTCTGAGGGGCCCTCAGGTTTTTAGTTCAGTTTCAGACTTCCTGGAACATGTAGAGGGTGGAGCTGCAGACAGGTTTGCAAGTCCGGTGTCCAGCTAAGCGCAGGGGGCGGGGGGGATGGGTGGCGGGCATCAACGGCGCTCGCTGTTGTCCAGAAGGAATCGTTGGCCTGTGTGCGTCTGGTCTGGGCCAGCCTAAGTGCCCCTTTCTCCATCCCTCGCTACGGCCACCGTTGGTTCATGCACCTCCTGCCCCCTCCGCTGCAGGTGGCTGGAAAGTAAGCCTACCCCCACTGAAGAAGAAGCTGCCCTCCTCCCTGGCAGCCGAGGAGAAGGCCTGCCCGAGCTCCATGGGCAGGGACAGCTTCCTGGACACCAGCGCCGCCGCATACCCCGGCGCACCCTTTGGCTCCCACCGCATGGAGAGTAGCAGTGGCGACATCACCATGATCGAAGAGGTCAGGCTTGAGAACCCGAAGGTGAGCGCTCAGCAGGAATGACACCTTTTCTCCAACGGGGTCCGTGGCAGTTGGGCCGGGGCCTTCCAGCAGGGGTGCCTGTGCGGCTCAGTCCGTTAAGCGTCCAACTCTTGGTTTCAGCTCAGGGCATGATGTCATGGTTCGTAGGATCGAGCCCCGCGTCAGCCTCTGCCAGCAGTGCAGAGCCTACCTGGGATGCTCTCTATGTCTCTGTCTCTCTCTGCCCCTCTCTCTCTCTGTCTTGCACAGTCTCTCTCTCAGTAGTAAGAAAACATTTAAAAAAAAGTCACAGCAACAACAAAATCAGTAACACTAAGAGCATTGCACACACAGTGCTTTCTTTGTGCCAGGCAGTGGGCTAGTGCTTCTGGAAAGTAACCCGGTGCTCACGTGTACCCTCCCTTTCTGCCCCCTCCCCAGTCCTCATGTGTCCCCCCTCTTCCTGCCCCCCCCCGGTGCTCATGTGTACCTCGCCTTCTCCCCCTCCCATGCTCATGTGTACCCGACCTTCCTGCCCCCTGGTGCTCGTGTACCCTGCCTTCCCCCCATGCTCATGTGTACCCCGCATTCCTCCCCCCCATGCTCATGTATATCCTGCCTTCTTCCCCCCGATAGTGCTCATGTGTACCCCACCTCCCTGCCCATCCAGAAAGCAGCTGCGCTGCTGTTTACACTGGATTTTAATTTCCAACAACTTACTCTTTTTATGTGAAGTTTATTTTAGAGGGAAACTTTGTTTAGATTCGTGGTTCCCACTCTCGGCAATTTGGGCCCTGGGGGACCTCTGGCAGTGTCTGGCGGAGACAGTTGTGACTTGGGGCGGGGGTGGCTGCTGAGTACCCTAGAACGTGCAGGCTAGCCCACCAGAGAGAGTGATCCAGCCCAGAACGTCAGCAGTGCCAGTGGTGAGGAGCCCTGCCTTCCGTGCAGAGCCAATGGCATTTGCCATAAAAGGAAGGTAATTATAAAATAGATAAAAGAAAACCAAAACTGTTGAGTACATTCTGGCCAAATACTGTTACGTGTCAAAGATGCAGTAGAGTCAAATGCTTTTCATTAACGTAATTAGAAGGATTGAAAAGGCCGTTGACACAGGACCGCTGTTCTCTTTATGTGATTCAGTTCACCTCATGCTGTCCTTTGTCCCTGGAACGTGCCTCCGATGCCGCCTGGGCTCTGGGAGACCAGCCCCAGCGCGGTGCATAGCCACGACCGGGGTGGCTGTCGGGGCTATTGCTGCTCTCTCCCTGAGGCTGCACAACACCCCCACCTACACACCCACCCAGGAGATAAGTGCTGCCCCTGGGAATCCAGCGAGGACCAGAAACCGTGTGTGCGGACCGCGCCTCCCCCGCAGCCCCGGCCCCTGCAGGGAAGGGATGTGGAGCGGGCTGTCCCCACAGCAGGACCTTCTTGTTCTCCACGCGCCTCTGCAAGGGGGGAGCGCCCAGCAACACGGGTCGGGGGCCACCACGGGAGGTTCACTTGCGCTGAGTGGTCCACAGGGGGTATGCTGGAGTCAGGATTTCCCTTCCCTTTGGGGGGCACGCTGGGGCTTCAGGAGATTTGATCCAAGGGCAGATGGGACAGGTTCATGGAAGCTCCTGGAAGACAGGAGCCACGAAGAAACTGGGCATCTGGGCAGGAATGGGAGAGAGAACACGGATCTCTCCTCCCCTCGTCTTTCGTTGGGCGCACGTCCTAACCTACCTAGGGGACAGCTGCACGAGCCCAGAGCCTGCCTCTCCTGCCCCGTGTGCCCAGACACACACGGCCCTCTCAGAGGCAGAGCGCACCCAGGGCTCGGCGTCGGCCCCCTAGCCTGGCATGCCTGCCTCGCACGCCTGCCTGTGCTTATCCTGTCGTCCCCGTCCTAGGATGGTGGCAGCTCCCAGAAGACAGGGAAGCACGGCCCAGGCCCAGACAAACCCCACGAGACTTACCGGCTGCTCAAACGCAGGAACCTGATCATAGAAGCCGTCACCAACCTGCGCTTAATTGAGAGCTTATTCACGTAAGGAGCAGCCTCTGTCTCTGTCTGTCTCTGTCTGTCTGTCTGTTTTGCACCGACAGTAAATTTCAGGCCAGCTCGTTACAACAAGCCACAGAAATGACCAAGAGGCATTGGCGTCTTCTGCTCTTTAGATTCTCACGGCATCCCTGTGTGGTAGACAGGACTAGGCGTTTGTTCTAGTGGTTCGGAAAGTGCAGGCATTGTGAAGCATCGAGGCGCTAGATGGGGAGAGAGCGCCTGGGCTAGACGTGGAAGTTGGGGAAGGTCCCGGGCTCCTCTCTTTCCTTGGAGGAGAGCCTGAGATAATAGCATCAGCTTATGAACTTTTCTTAGGTCAGCAGTTCAAACACAGTCTTACATGAAAGCAAAAACCAAGAGACGCAAGTAGAACTTTTGTGTTTTTGGTGGCTCTGATAACTAGAGTCGCTGCAGTCCCGTGGGGTCCTTTAACCCTCCATCCCCACCCCCACCCCACCCCCGCCTCCTGGGTGGCATCTTCGGGCCTCGTAGGCACCCAGCGTCAGAGCTGCTCCATGGGAAGGAGCCTCACCCTCGTTCTCTAACTAGGGAACGGGGAGGCCCTGTGCAGACACCGTGGCCTGCATCCTCTCGTCTGCGCGGTCAGGGGTTGGGCCGGGCGTTCCTAATGTCCTCCTGGCCCTGCCATTCGATGATCGGTGAGCTGGAAACATCCCTGCGGTGACTCAGTAATGCATGAGGGGAGGAATCAGAAAGAGCTACAGACCGGAGAGTGCTGACAGAGTACCAGACGATCTTTTGGGCCTTAAATTAGTCCAAAAACGGATGAAGACCTCTCCATCATGGCACCCGGTGTCCCTGCCGTTGTCATCAGTCCTGTGCTCCCTCTGGTTCCGGTGAAAGGCTCAGAATGTGACGCTGCTGTGCCTGGCGGCTTGTCATCAGCTAACTCACTTATCGCTAAAAGATTTGATCTGTAATGTGTCCAGAAGTCAGCCTTTCAATGGGGAAACCCCCCTCCAGCGCTCCCCGAGTTTCCACTGGGTACCACTGGGAGGCTCTCAGCTGCCTGGGTTGAAAAGGGTTGGAAAAGGCCTTCCGTGCTGAGATTGGGGATATTAACTTCTTATTTTGTGGCACCTCAGGATTCAAAAAATGATCATGGATCAAGAGAAGCAAGAAGGCGTGTCTACCAAGTGCTGCAAGAAGTCCATTGTCCGCTTGGTGCGGAACCTGTCTGAGGAAGGCCTCTTGAGACTGTACCGGACTACGGTTATTCAGGATGGCATCAAGAAGAAGGTACGCACAGCTCTCCTGACACCCGCCGCACCAGCCCCACGCCGTCAGTTTCCCAGTCCCGCTTCCCTTGTGCCCGTCCAATTTCACTTGTTCCATTGCTGCTCGTAACTCAGAATTTCCCATTGTGCCTCCTCATCTTGGGGGCAGGGGCCACGCACTTTCCTGCGGAGGATGGAAACTGGAAAGAGGAGTGAGTTGGTTGGCCCTCGGGGCCACACGCACAGCCTTAGGGCAGGTGTCTGGCCACAGGCCAGCCTTGAACAACATGAAGGCAGGCAGGATGCGCCGGAGCTCGGCAGAGCAGCGCTGGCCGACAGGAAGCAACGTTTAGCAGGTACGAGGTTAGGAGATCCGAGGAGACATCCCCAGGAGCGACGGTGGCAAGGGCCGGGGCTGTTTGGCGGGGGAGCGATAGATCTTCTGTCTCAGCTTATCTGTTTCTGCAAGATTTAAGGTTTGGGGCCATTCCCATAGCAGCAGCCCTGCGCATATGAGGCCTCGGTTTTCAGGGGCAGAGTGATTTGAGGTCACCCTGTTGGGCACAGGGACTGCTGCGGGGACAGTCACTTGTACTTGCCTGACCTCTTGTTCCAGCTGCGTTTTCTATCTCTGCCTTAAGAGAGCTGTGCTTTGATGTTGTTTCCTTAATAAGCTGGCAAGGCCATTTCTGGGTTTTTTACTTTCTCTTACTTTTTTGAGATGTTTGAAGTTTGAAACGCACAGAGCAGCATGAAAAGTGACTTAGACCGTTTCTGCCACTGGAGGTTGGCAGCTTTCATCCATTTGTACACCTGCTGTTGGGTCCCCTTGGCCTTGGCCCCCACTTACCCCCCGCTGGCCTGCCGCTCCTCTCCTAGAGCAGCCAGGAGGTCGGGTGCTGATCTCTGCCCTCAGAGCACCAAAGCCTCCAGTCCTCAGCAGTAGCACCTGTGCTTTCTGTTTATCGTCACAGAGCAGTTACAGATGAGCCGCCTTCTCGGGACAGTGACTGAGGGCAAGCAAACCCCCCCAGGCTGGGAGCAGGGAGGGCAGCCTCCCACGGGTGCCCACTGTGTCCGCAGCTCCTGTTTGGTCTAGAGTGGCGTCCGCCAGGCAGTTTGGGGAGGAATGCACTGAGGATGACACCACCTCAAAAGCGAAGGCACCGGCCCCGGGGCCTCTTGCCGCAGGGCACCGCGGGCAGCCTGTGTCCAGCTGGGCGGGACTCTCTCCAGAATAAGTAACCTACCAGCCCTCCGGCTCACAGAGCACCCGCACTGGCAGGCGCCCTCTGATCCCCTGAAGGCACATTGACCGGAGCTGCCATGTGGTAGCAGCAGCCTTGGCCTTTGCTCCCACATCCTGTCCTGCCCGCTGGGCCTTCGGGGAGGTGGCTGAGCTGTTCGGCTGTGGACAGTGGAGAGATAGGAGTGCCTTGTATTTGCACCAGGCTTTTCAGTACACCGAGGTGTTGCCTGACTGCCTCTTTGGAGCCCCACACAATCCCAGAAAGGTTGACAGGGCGTCGGGGAGGGGCCCCCCACTTCACTAATGAGGCGCTGGTCCCCATCCGGGTGGTGCCGCCCACTCCCCATGGTCAGCCCCTCTTCAGCGTGTTCTTGGCATGAAGCCCGCCGGCCAGAGTCCCACGTTTAGAAGACCTTCCCTTGCTGTCTCCTGCCAGTGGCCAAGATGGAAGAGAAGTCCAGGTCCCCAGGGGCCCGGGCCCCTGTGCCTGCCATCTCCTGCCCTGCCCCCACGCTCCCCCGAGCTGCTTCTGTTTGTCATCCTGGATAGCTCCCACGAAGCGGCACCCGCCACAGCCATTCATCCCCCATCTGCTGGCAGACGTGAGATAGCAAAAGCAGCTCTCGACCCTCTGCCGGCTAGTTTCCACGTGCGCCTGGCATGAGCCCCATGGTGGCACCCTCGGTGAGGGGAGATGAGTGACAGCTGCATACCTTTTCCTGATGGGAGGCCTCAGGACTCGCGACCAACTGTAGGAAATTCTCAGATAGCTGGAGTGGGGAGTCAGGAGCAGGCCACCAGGTGGCTGCTGAGGCCGCCGAGCCAGGACAGGCCCCCCAGGGAACAGCAAAGAGCCCCTCTGGGCCATGTGGCCCTCGCCTGAGCAGAGTGGCACGTCACTCCTGGCCGAGCGTTCTTGCTCAGTCACTGGAGGAGGGGTTTCCATGTCAGAAGTTGTCCCGGCAGACCGTGCAGCAGCACCTCACGCTCCGCTCACACGCATCCTTTGGAAGCGCTAGCGAGAGCAGGCACAGCCAGCATTCCAAGCAAGGGACTGAGTTGTAGCGCCGCGTGTCCCCCGTCCCCTCCCCTGCCCCGTGGGACGCTCCGGCCTCTCCGCAGGTGGACCTGGTCGTGCACCCGTCCATGGACCAGAATGACCCACTTGTGAGGAGCGCCATTGAGCAGGTGCGCTTCCGGATCTCCAACTCCAGCATGGCGAACAGGCAAGTGGCGGTACCCCTCAGGGCTTCCCCAGGAGGCCACCCAGGCCTTGTCCCCTTGTCCAGCAGCTGTCACTAGCACCCTTTATTTATGCTCATGAGAGAACAGCGCACTCACTGGGTTAGGAACAATTTATGGAGTTTTCAGGGAAAAAAAGTTCCTTTCTCTTCTGCCTAATGGCGTCGACAGAGTGCTCTGGGCCATAGGCCCTGTGTGCGTGATGCTCGTTCAGTCTCCCGACAGCCCCAGATGAGTTCAGTTGCCCCTCCGAGGCCTTCTCTGATTTTGTAACCGTCTTGTGGGCTAGGGAAACTTGGGACTGGGGGAGAATTCTTAGCTGGGTTAACCTAGAGAAGTCCAATGGGCAGGTAGAGAGGCTCTGCGTTCATTGTGGACCTTTGCTCGTGTGCTTTGAACTGGCCACCTCTTGATTTCCCCATCAGATCCCCGATCTCTGGCATTTCTGAAAACGTCAGAGGACCCGGCACATTGGGCCGCCTGTCTTACACGGCTGCTCTGGGACGGGGAGGGGGGTGGTGCACCTGCAGGTCACCACAGCCCCCGTCGTCCCGTTTTGTTCATTCACAGCATCTGCTTGGCTCCTACGGGCAGTCCAGGTGGAAGCTCCAGGGCCACGTGGCTTCACCCGACCTGGGAGGACAGATCCTGTCCTTTTTTTCCAGCCCTCGGTCCTCACAGCAGGGCGTTGACCTTATATTCGACCTGCAGGGTTAAAGTAGTCCAGCCTCCAGCACCTCAAGCAGAAGCCGAGGAAGAAAGTCCAGAAAAAGAGGCTCCAAGTGTGTCGGGAGACTCTCAGCTAAGCACGTCCTCCAAATCAGAAACTGGACGGGTGAAAAAGACAGATGAGAAGATGGGCATCACCCAGCTGAAAAACTACCACCCTGTTGTGGGTAAGAAATGGCTTCTCTTCACCGTCTGACGGTGTCGGTGGTCGACTGCATGCTGGTGTCTGAGTCACTTGGCGCTCTGCCTTCTGGCACTCGGCTGAAGGCCGACGAATCAGGTCTGAATCGCTGGACAGGTCCTGTGGGGCTGGCCACCTGACTTGTGCTGCCATCAGTATCCCCATCTGCAAAACGGGCATGATGCCTGCCCAGCAGGCCTCACAGGCTGTATGAGACTCAGATGAAACTGTGCTGGATCCTAGCATGATGAGTTAGGCACAGAGATTCATTCCGCTCCGCATCCTCGGGCTGGTATGAACCACGTAACCCACAGAAAACCTCCGTCCCTCTCGAGCCCATGCACCTGCCAGAGCTCTGGTCGTTGATGAGTGTGAACACCCGGGTCATTTTCCCAGCGTCTGTTCACCCACAGAGTTGCCTCCCTGACGGCCCCCACCAAGCGGCCCTAATGGGAATGTGTTCGGGGCAAGTGTAGAGAGCCAGGGAAGCATCATGGGGCATGGGCCGTGGCCCGGTGGGGGGTGTGGTGCAGCAAACCTGAGATCCTGGGGCAGAAGAGGGCATGTGCGTGGCCTCCCTCTGCGCGCCACCTCACCACAGGTGGCCTGCCTTTGCTCTGTGGGTCCCAGGGTGTTCTGTGGTTAGCAGGTGCAGCCCATGGAGGGCCGGGGCCAGGGTAGCAGAACGGCCCCTGCCTGGGCCACACAGAAGGTGGTGAGCCTGCTGCTCAAGTGGGCACGGCGGTGGGGGAGGGCCTCTGGCCTTGCCCCTGCTCCCTGCCCCCCGGCTCCCTGCCTTCTGTCCTCTCTCCCTGGGGAAAACCAAGGAGTACCTTATTTGTGTCAACAAGGAAACAGGATGTTTTCAGAGAATCCTGGGTCCCTGTCTACAGCCCAGCAGGCCCAGGTCCCTGTGCAGAGACCCGTCAGGCCCTGCACAGTGGCACCCTCCTCCATCACACTCTGGCTCGCCCGCCGCACCCTCCTCCTCCCTTTCTCCCCCCCATCCCTCTGGCCTCTGGCCCTCCACCAGGCGCATGCTCACCTCCGGCCCCTTGCATTTGTCCCAGGGTGCACATTCCCGGGTTCCTGTGTGCCCCACCACCACCACTTTCCTTGCCCTCTGGGTGGAATCACAGCCTCCTCCCCCATCCTCACTGCTCTCTGCCCCAGCTGTCTCTGTCTGCTGTGTGACTTTAGGTACCTTGCTGACACCTAAAGAGTGTTAGAAGGGACGTTCCGTGAGAGCACGAACAGCACTCACTGTGGGCTTGAGTGGGTTGAACTGACGTGAATCCTGTATTTTCAAGTATTTCTCCCCCCCCCACCCCCCACCTCAGTTCCAGGACTTGGCCGTTCGCTAGGGTTTTTGCCCAAAATGCCTCGCCTGCGGGTAGTGCACATGTTTCTGTGGTACCTCATCTACGGGCACCCTGCCAGCCACGTGCGGCCGAAGCCGGGCCCCAGCGGGGAAAGAAGATCAGGGAGACAGGAGCCAGGCAGGGTGGGGGCCCGGCCCCTCTCCAGAGCCTGCGTGGAGGCCTCCTCCAACGGCCCACCCAAGGACAGCCTAGGCGGAACCTTCCTGGAGACTGAACTGGAGCCCCCCACAGAGAAGGGTGAGGTGCCGCCCTCTGGAGGGGAGTCCTAGTGGGTAATTGTCCCTGTCACCTGAGCCTGCCGAATCCCCACAGCACCCGATCAGAGTGAAGTCATAATCCAGACTCTAGGAGCCCATGGGCCTCCCGCCTGACAAGTGGGGTTCCCCCCCCGGGTTCGTGGGGAGAGGGAATCTGGGCCTACTGGGGTGAGGGCAGCGTCATGTCTGGGCCCCGCCTGCAGCACGGACTCTGACTCTCTCTTAGTGTATGTGGACGAAGCCTCGTGGATGCGCTATGTCCCTCCCATCCCAGTCCATAAAGACTTCGGCTTCGGCTGGGCACTCGTCAGTGACATCCTTCTCTGCCTGCCCCTTTCCATCTTCATCCAGATTGTGCAAGTCAGTTACAAGGTACTGTAACTGGGGGGCTGGTCCCTCAGCCTAGACCACCGGACCTACCCTCACCTGGTCAAGGGAAAATACTTGCTGTTGCAAGGGAAAAGACTTGGTGTTGTCTGGATGCGTGGATGGATGGATGGAGGGATGGAAGGAAGGAAGGAAGGAAGGAAGGAAGGAAGGAAGGAAGGAAGGAAGGAAGGAGAAAGAAGGAAGGATTGGATGGGTGGGTGGGTGGGTGAATGGATGAGTGGGCAGAAGGAAGGGAGGGAGGCACGGAGGGAAGGGGGATAGATAGAGATAAGATGGATGGATGGAAAGACAGATTAGATGAATGGGTGGGTAGATAGATAGATAGATAGATAGGTGATGGAGAATGATGGGATGCATGGATAGATGGACAGATTGGATGGGTGAGTGGATGGATAGGTCAATAGGTAGGTAGGTAGGTAGGTAGGTAGGTAGGTAGGTAGGTAGATGGATGGGTGGGTAGGTAGGTAGATAGATAGATAGATAGATAGATAGATAGATAGATAGATAGATAGATGATAGGATAAACAGGATGGCCGGATAGATATAGATAAATTATTGGCTGGATAGATGGATGGTTGCTTGTTGTGTCATAGGAAATCCTTGAAAGACTGATAGATCAATCAGATATATGGGAAGACAATTATGTTGTAGTGAAGAAGTATGCCTCTAGAAATTTGGTAAATAAATACAGAAAAAGAAGAAAATAGGATCAGAGAGACTCTGCCCAGAAAGGAGTGGGGTGTGTTTTCTTACAATTCTCACAATTGACCCTGGCCTTGAGGATGAGCTGATCCTGAACATGACCTTTAGGTAGACAACCTTGAGGAGTTTCTGAACGACCCTCTGAAGAAGCACACGCTGATCCGCTTTCTCCCCAGGCCTGTCCGACAGCAGCTCCTGTACAAGAGGTGAGGCCCCCAAAACCAGCCAGGCTGCCGGAGGGTCCCGGTGGGCCCCTTGAGGTTAGGGCTCTGAATAACGGTTCCCCAGGAAGAGGAAAAGGTTCCGCCCACCAGCTTGTGAGGACTCGAGGTTTAATTCATTCGGTGACCCTGGGAACCTTCTGGACAAAGCCCATTGGGGCTGGAGAATTTTGTTACTTAATTTCAAGGTTCTTGTCAGGTAAAACCAGTTGATAAAGACTGTGAGTATTGGAGTAGTTTGCTTTTTTTTTTTTCCATTTGCTAATTTTACTTTCTAAATCAAAACCCTATGTGGGATCCACACTCCATTGCCTGGGTCGGGAGTTGGGAAGGGGCCTCTGGGTCTGTGCACAGGGCGGACCCCACGAGGTAGAAGAGGGCGCCACGAGCCGTCATGTGCTTCCCCCGATGCAGACCCCTGGCCACAGCCAAGGGTGCTCACACTAGAATCCCCCCCCACCCCCCACCCCCTTTTCCAGGCGTTACATTTTCTCCGTAGTGGAGAACCTGCAGAGGCTGTGCCACATGGGGCTCCTGCAGTTCGGCCCCACAGAGAAGTTCCAGGACAAGGACCAGGTAACGTCTCTTGGGCCCAAACAAAGGGGTTCCCACTGGCTAAGCAGCTTCCAGACCGCGGACAGCCGTGGCCCTGAAGTTCTCCTCTCACCCCGTCCATGTGTCCCTAGGTCTTCATTTTCTTAAAGAAGAATGCGGTCATTGTTGACACCACCATCTGTGACCCGCATTATAACCTGGCCCGCAGCAGCCGGCCCTTCGAACGGCGCCTTTACGTGCTGAGGTCCATGCAGGATGTGGAGAGCTACTGGTTCGACCTGCAGTGCGTCTGCCTCAACACCCCTTTAGGTACCGCCTGCCGTTGCCGGGCCCCCCACGCTCCCCGCTCCGTTAGAGCAAGAAGGAACTAGAAGTCGCTCCTGGTCTTCAGACTTCCCCAGAGACCCAGAGTGTTCTTGGGGCTCCCTCAGGAAGCAAGGCGCCCAGCTCCAAACGGGGGGCTCCCGGGCCCCTGTGCATTGACTTCCTTCACCTGTGCATTCAGTTGGTACTTGCTCAACACCTTGTATCTGTCATTCCTGGGCCTGACCCCGAGCAAGGACACCCCCGCCCTGCCTTCCTGAGCTTAGTTCTCACCGAGGAGACATGCACACAGAGGCTGAGACAGGTGCTGTGGAGGAAGTGACCAGGGGTGCTACTGAAGGCCAGTTCAACGGGGTAACAGGGCACGAGTGGAGGCCGGTTTAGCGGGGTGACCGGGGGCGCAAGCGGAGGCTGGTTTAACGGGGTGACCAGGAGCAGCCTTTCTCAAGAAGGGACGTTTGAGCTGCGCTCTGAAGGCTGAGGCCAAGCCCAGAGCCGGGGAAGAACATTGCAGGCATGGGAATGGCAAGCGCATCACTGGGAGAGATGAGAGGCTGGTGTGGGTGGAGAGGGGCAGGCAGCTGCCGGTGGAGAAGCCGGGGCCTGCAGGGCTTATTCTAACAGCCGGGAGAAGCCGGGAGAAGCACTGCATAGTTGTAGGCAAGAGGTGACAAGATCTTTTCTTTCAAAGCTTGCCCTGGCTGCCGGGTGGGGAGCGAACAGACAGAGGGCCCAGGGTAGAAGCAGGGCTGTGACTCCTGCCCAAGAGAGATGCCCCCTGGGGACAGTGAAGGAGGGGGCAGCCTGGGAGGTGTTTTGCAGGAAGAACTGAGCAGGTTTGGCCAGCAGGTCGGATGAGTTGGGTTTGAGGGTCAGGCCTTTGCTAGTGTCTTCCTACCCCCGGAATGTCCCTTGACCTGTGTTCACCTGACATTGACCACTCCCACATCAAGCATCATCTTTTCGAGAAAGTTTTTCCAGCACCTTTAAGCTGTTAGCTGCTTTCCTCCTGAGGATTACTTGAGCGCAGGAAATCCAGCTTCCGTCCCGCAGTGTCTCAAAGTGCCCGGTGCACAGTCGGCGCCCCATAAATGTTGATTGACTAGATGGAGGCTTTGTGGAAGGCCATAGACCAGTGCTCTTTCCTCTAAGCCACTTTCCTCCTGATCTTTTCGTGCCACGTCTACTAGGAGGAAGGGATGCCACATCCCGTCTGAACCTGGTGCCCTCCTCCCTCCCTCCTGTCCCAGAGCTGGATCACTAATGCACTTCACTTTTTGCAAAGCAGGAGGCCCGCATTTGTTTGGCAGGATGGTTTAGTGCTGCAGGGTAATGGACCCTTGCATCGAGAACCTTTCATGTAATGGGTCCAGACAGACTTCGGAACTTGTATGTTTCATAGAATCCTCTGGCATTCCGTAAGCCAGGCTTTTACCATTTCAGATTTTGAGAGTGCCCTAATTCTCCTGCATTTTATACCCAGATAAAAATTTGTGAGCCAGTGTGTTATTTGCACCGAAGTTGTTGAGGCTTGACAGTGGTGAATTTCCATCCCTGTTAGTGTTCCTGAGCAGAAAGGGGGACGCTTCGAGTCCAGTAAGTGGGCGCCAGTGGCCCCTTCATTCCAGAACGCTCAAGGAGGTTCTGCCCCAGGGACTGAGGGGAAAGCACCATATAATAAGACGTGAGCATCCTTTAGAGCAGGGGCACACTGAGCACGGGTGGGCCGCAGACGCCCTGGGAGACCCTGGTGAAATGTGGATCACCGGGCCCTGTCCAGAGCTTTGGATTCTACCCATGCAGGGATGGCCTAAATCTGCATTTCGAACTTGCATTTGGGTGGTGGGCAGGAGAAGCGTGGCCTTAAGTCTGCCTGGGTTTCACTGGCCATTCAACATGCGTGACCTTGGGTGCCCCTGAAGACCTCTCTGAGGTTGACCTTTTCATTTCTAAGCCGGGAACACCACCACCACCTTATGGGCTGAAGCAGAGCTTGAACACGTGTCTTATGTAAACAGTAGCCATCCCCTCATCCCCTCGCCCCCACCCAGACCAAGGTCTCCAGTCGAGCATGTGAGAAGACTGTCTTTGGTGGCGTGCAAATCACCGTAATCTTCCTGTGCCTCACTCAAGCAACAGTTCATCACAGTTTATGTTTTCTTTATTGTGCGTTTACAGAACACAGTTTCCCAGCAATGTTAATGCATCTCTTAGGCACTCAGAAAACCTCTGGCTGCCCTCCAGACCCCACCAGGCCCAGGGACACTGCTCTGAGCTATCTGCCCAGATCCCTGCGGACCCGGGCCCCACATCCACTGCCAAGTGCATCATTTTTGCATACCGCCCCCTGTGGGCTGGCACGCGGGCGCGCCACGGGCTGTCCCTGAGGAAGAAGGCCTCGGGGTTCCTCTACTGACCATCCCCCCACGGCTGTTGGCCTCTCCTGTGGCCGGCTCGCCTGCCCTCCTTCGGGGAGTTCAGCCAGAGTACGAGTCTTTTACTCAGGCTCACGCCCCAGCGTTCGACCCCGACATCTATTAGAACACATTTGTACAAAGAGGGTCTACCAGTTTCAGAGCCTGTCCCGCAATTGGGGAGCAGTCACAGGAGGGGAATCTGTGGCCCATGGCTCTGGAGCCACAGCAGGACCCGGGCACCAGGGAGGCTTGTGTCTGCTCTCAGGTGTGGTACGCTACCCGCGCGTCAGGAAGAACAGCACCCAGGATGAGGGCACCGACGAGGAGGGCAGTCTGCAGAAGGAGCAAGAGAGCGCCATCGACAAGCACAACCTGGAGCGCAAGTGTGCCCTGATGGAATACAGCACGTGCGTTCCCCCCCCGCCTCACGCGCTGTCCCCAAGTGCAGGCCCTGATGGAGTGCAGCACGTGTGTCCCCCCCCACCATGCGCTGTCCCCAGGTGCAGGCCCTGATGGAGTGCAGCACGTGTGTCCCCCCCCACCACGCGCTGTCCCCAAGTGCAGGCCCTGATGGAGTGCAGCACGTGTGTCCCCCCCCACCATGCGCTGTCCCCAGGTGCAGGCCCTGATGGAGTGCAGCACGTGTGCCCCCCCCCCCACCACACACTATCCCCAGGTGCAGGCCCTGATGGAGTGCAGCACGTGTGTCTCCCCCCCCCCCCACCCGGCCCCAAGCACTGTCCCCAGGTGCTGGCCCGCAGACTCCGGCTCCACATGTCAGCCTGTGGGCACCCACATCTCTGGTGCAGAGGCCACAAATTGGTGGCCATGGGCCCCTCTGGCCCCAGCCAGGCCTGGCCACATATTAAACAACAAAAATAAATTAGTTGCCACGATTCAAAAATTGGGAAATGTACATAAATATCTGGGGTTTGACAAGTATGTCCGTTCTGTCAGCTGTTACCAAGAAGGTAAGGGTCAGTTAGGAAAGACGCCTTCACCCTCGTCGCAAGCTCTCTTTTCCTTCCCAACAAGGACTCTCTTGCTGTTTACTTCCCGCCTCGCAGGGGGAGCCGTGAGGTCGTGGATGAAGGCTCGATCCCCGGGGACGGGTTGGGGGCCGCTGGGCTCGACTCTAGTTTCTATGGGCACCTGAAGCGTAACTGGATCTGGACCAGCTACATCATCAACAAGGCCAAGAAGGTGGGCTTCAGGGGGTTGGGGAACAGTCACCCCCGGGCCACCCCCCCAGTGGTGGCTGTAACTTCCCATCTCGGTGGCCCTCTCCCTGCTCACTGTTTCTGAATTGGTAAAACCAAAGTTGGCCAGAGGCACAAGTGTTTATTTCCATATGTATTGAAGGTACATCGGGCCCTTTAAATCTCTGCTTTTGCCAGCTTTTCTTTTTTTTCTAATGGATTCTAACTGGTTCTGTCACATGGACAGGCATTCCCTTTTAAAGAAGGAACAGGGGCGCCTGGGTGGCTTGGTTGGGCGTCTGACTTTCGCTCAGGTCATGATCTCGCAGTTTGTGGGTTCGAGCCCCGCGTTAGGCTCTGTGCTGAGTGCCAGCTCAGAGCCTGGAGCCTATTTCAGAGTCTGTGTCTCCCTCTCTCTCTGACCCTCCCCTGCTCACGCTGTCTCTCTCTCTCTCCTAGAAATAAATAAAAATATTTTTTAAAAAAAATAAATAAATAAATAAAGAAGGAACAGAAATGGGGCAACTGGGTGGCTCAGTTGGTTAAGCATCTGACTTCGACTCAGATAATGCTCTCACCACTCTGTGGGTTGAGCCCCGCGGCAGGCTCTATGCTGACAGCTCAGCCTGAAGCCTGCTTCGGATTCTGTCTCCCTCACTCTCTGCCCCTCCCCTGCTCGCACTCTATCGCTCTCTCAAAAATGAATAAATGTTAAAAAATTTTTAAAAAGAAAGAAAGGGAGGGAGGGAGGAAGGAAGAGAAGGTCATACATGAGGGAGCGTGTGTGCAGGAAGCAAGTGGCCCCCCCAGGAGAAGCCCGGGGAACATTCGATGCTCCGGGCCCCAGGGACTAAGGGAAGCCCCTGCCACATTCCAGTGATGCTCTTGTCTTTTAGGAGAACACTGCTTCTGAAAACGGGCTCATGGTGAGACTCCAGACGTTTCTGTCCAGGCGCCCGTTGCCACTCGTTGCTGGAGGTACATTGGCTGGGAGTTCACCCTGGAAGCAGACCTGGGCGCAGCTCAGGCCGCGGGACTCCCTACCACGCGCTCCGTGTGGCTTATGGCCTTCGCAGGGCTCCCCCCGACACACTCCCCTCCTGTGCTTTTTCCCAGGCGGTGGCAGGCTGAACATCTGGGGGGAAGCCAGAGCAGGACCTCCACTCTGCGCCGACAGGGAAGAGCAGTTCGAGATGGACCGAGAGCCCACGCTGGACCGGAACTGGAGAGTGAGGGGTGGGAAAAGCCAGAAGCGGAAACGGCTGAAGAAAGACCCTGGAAAGAAGATCAAGAAAAAGAAAAAAGGTTTCATGATGGTCCCTCGGTGTCTGCTAGGCTTTGTGTTTGTCCCTTGCGGCTCGGAGACAGGCTGCCCCAGCGGCCGGGGCTGAGCTCTGCCCCAGACCTGGGCTTCCCCCTCCCTCAGTGTGTAGGGCTGCCTCGGCGTGGTTGCCCTCTCTTTTTGCACACCGAGCCAGCTGACTGAGAGACACCCCCCACCCCCCCACCCCGAGCTTCTCGCATCTTCTGACTGTGTTTCATAGCGCCCTTCGGCTTCACAACCCCTTCAGTTCCATCATCTAGCCTCATCTTTACCGAGAAATCCTCAGCAACAATCGTTAGCAGAAGTCCTCGTCTCAGCCAGCCAAAATCCTGATTCTTCTGGTTTGGCTTTTAATATCTGCAGTATGTTAATCAGGCCACAGTTCCAAGTCGTGTTATGTTTTTAACTGGGAGGAAAGGCGGGAGTTGGTCAGGCTGCAGAATCTCTTCCAGTCCCGTGAGCCCCCTGGGCATGTCCTACCCTGCTGGTTTGGATCCATCACCCGGGCAAGCATTTATAGCAGAGGACAGCAGGACAGTGAGGAGCCCGGTGCCTGCTTTTCCGTTCATTTTTCCATCATCTAAGTGGTCTGTGTGTCTTCACGATGATCTGATAGCTGTAGCGTTTTCAGAAGAGAACAGAGTGTTTAAATGGGACCTATTTGCAGTGGTTTGCTTGGCTGCTGTTCGTAATAAATAGGCTTGTGTCCATTGGAAAGGCCCCCCGCCCACCTCCCAGCTCAGCCTATCCAGGTGGGCGTGAGATCAGTTAGGCTCTCAGAGACGCGAATTTATCACCAGGCAAAATTCCGGGATTCCCCTGGAATCCCGAGTATTCTCGCCCTCCTTTTCTTCTGCCTTAATTTGGAAGAAATGTCCTAAAACAGTCTCTTGGAATTGGCAGTAGCATATGGTGTTTACCTTGTGAAACTGCCATGAGTCTGTCCCGAGGGGAGGAGATGTTGACAGAACTTAGCGGGTAAGAGCTCACAGTTCAGACCCTGTGTCAGCTACGGACTGGGCTGTGTGACTTGGGGCCCATTGCTGTGTCCTGCCGTGTCATAGAGTCCTCGGCAACAGAATGGGGATCATAACTGCCTCCTCACAGAGTTGATGCAAAGGAGTGTTTCGATTCTGGGTTGTTAATATGTAAACAGCCATAACTGGTGCTTGGCATACGGCAGATACTCCATAACGTGGTGACTGGCACGCATGGGCTGGTTCATACCCCATCTGGTTCAGTCCTCACAGCAGCCCTGATGGACGCACCTTGCCGTCCCCATGGCGCCCCGGAGTGTGCACAGCATCTTGGAGGTTGCCGAGCAGAATGGCAGGTGCTCTGCATGGGCTGCAGCCCTCGAAGTGCCTGCCACCACGGTGGGAGGGACCGTGTCCCGGGACACGGTGAAATTTGACCAAAGAGAAAATGACAAAAGGGGTTAAAGTATCTATTGGTAGAAGGCCAAGTCTCTTGTGGTTAGTCTCTTTGGTTTCCAGCCCCGGTAACCAACAGCCTTGGTCAAGTCTCACTGACCGAGTAGGGACCCTGCCCCTCTCCAGAGTGCCAGCTCCAGTCCAGCTGTTAGAAGCTGCTTCTCTTTTCCCCTTGATATTCTTAGAAGAGTCCCCCAAAGAGAAAAACCGGAGGCTGCGTTACCACGATGAGGCCGACCAGAGCGCGCTGCAGAGGATGACCCGGCTGCGTGTCACCTGGTCCATGCAGGAGGACGGGCTGCTCATGCTGTGCCGCATCGCCAGCAACGTCCTCAATGCCAAGGTACTGGCCCCAGCCCCCCACCCTTCCCCGGCCTGCCGCCCCGCTTTCCCTCGTGGGGAGCTCTGTACCCTGTGTGGCCACGCATGGACGCTCATCTGTTTTGCTTGGCCACCAGGAAAAGGTTTCCCGGAGTCCCACAGACTAATACTTCATCCTTGCTCATTGCTTTCCGGCCTTCGGCTAACGCACACACATCTTTACCTACCTGCGGGTTCAACAGCCCAGCGCCGTTCTTACTCTCTTCACCAGGAACCTCACACTTCCCGCTCCCCTTCTCCCCCATCACCTGCCTAGAAAACTCCTACTTATCTTTCATAACTGCTCACCATCTCTGGAAAGGCTCCATTGATCCTGCCATTGGAGGCAATGACCGTGTTCTCGCCGTGTCCCCCGCACGTGGACTTCTCACGCTGCCTCTCTTGCTCCTGGCCCCTCGTGGCTCGTGGGAGTGGCTGCTGCTCAGGGCAGGGAGGCCACTCGTTTGTTTTCATAGCTGCAGCCCTTCGCACGGTGCCCCTACACAGTAACCACCAGGCTGCTGCTCGCCGAGTCCATGCAGGATGGTGATCATGGCCTTGGCCTGGAGCCCTAGCTTCATCGCGGCTCAGTCCCCACCTTCCACGCCACGGCCCCCACACTCCCATCTTCCTCTCGGCCTGTGTCCTGAACCCCAGGGGTGGGGGGAGCTTCCCATCCAGCAAATTCTTCCCCTTTCCTCTGGAGTCACCTCCTCTAAGAAGGTTCCCCAGCCTCACTTACTCCCAGTCTGTCTGTTCCTGCCTTCTGTTCTACTCCTCTGAGCTTGTGGCAAGGCGGGGGTAGAGCTGTGCAGGTGGGCAGATGTCCAGGCAGCCTGGCTCTCAGATGCCGCCAGAGGATCTGCCACCCTGTAATCCCGGCCCTCTGGGCAGAAACGCCACCACTTCCTCATCCCAGGTTGGTGGCCCTGTCGTCTGGCACATTGGCTGAGAGAAGCCCCAGGAAGCGTCCATGCCCTGGATGCTCTCGGCCTCAGGCCCACTGGATCCCTTTCCTTGACCACTTTTCCAGATGCTCTCATCCCTCACTTCCCCCCCCCCCCCGCCCTGTTCCCTCCTAAATTCCAGCACAGTTCCTCCTCCAGGGAGGTGACGTGCTGCCATCCCTGGTCTCTGTTCTTGCCTCTGCGGTAGCTTTCTATCCCAGCTCTCACGGGAGAGCTGTGCCTGCCTCCACCCACCCCCCGTGCAGCCAGAGGGGCCAGGACGGCCCTGCAAGGCTCTGGCTGCCTCCACCTCTGCCCCCCGCCCCCCACCTCCCCGTGCAGTTGGAGGCGCCAGGACGGCCCTTCATGGCTCTGGCTCAGCGGACCCTGCCCTCATCTACTTAAATTCACAGCACATTCTTGGGCCACCCCATTCTGAGGGCTGTCAGAAAATAACATTGCTGTCACGCCCCTTCCCTGTCTCGGTGCTCCTTTCTGCCTGTTTTGGCTGAGATGTTCTCCTGAGTCTCTGATGAAGCTAATTCAGTGCTTCTGTTTCTACTAACGTACACCACACTTCTGGGCATACATAATGTGTACCTAAACCTTTACACTTGCCTAATAGGTGCATCTCATAACCCTCCCCACCGTATTGCCCTTCCAGACAGTATTACCCCAGTACCTGCTGAGCACGCAGTACTTGCCGGAGCACTGGACGTTGAGGATTTAGCTTCTTTTCTGCCCAGCACCTCACTCATGCCGGGCACACATCGGTGCTCCATAAATGTGATCCACATAAACCCGGGAGGGGCCAGTGTTGAGCGCCAAGGACAGAGGCCACGGAACATGCGTTCCCCCCTCCTTTATGTCCGTGACCCAGACCGCAGGCTCTGAGGGTGCTGATCTGCTTCTTGGCTTGTGTCTGATCCAGGTGAAGGGCCCGTTTGTCCCCTGGCAAGTTGTGCGGGACATTTTGCACTCAACCTTTGAGGAGTCCCTGGATAAAACCTCCCATTCAGTCGGACGAAGAGCTCGCTACATAGTCAGAAACCCCCAGGCCTATCTGAACTATAAGTAAGTCTTGTTTGAACTATCCTAACTTTGGGCTACAGTTACTCCCGTGCTTCTGGTTTGTTCTCCACTCTCCTTGCATCTCGTGGGCCTACGAGTCCTGCTCTAAAATCCACGGTGAGCGGTGAGCCGTGCACTAGCTCACCGACAGTCTCTCCAGGCCCTGGGGCCAATGGGGGAAACCGTGCGGGAGTCTTCAAGGGCTTGGCCTGGCTCGGGGCCATTTTCCGTATCCGTGTGCAGTCAAGGACGGCCTCATGAAGCACATGCTGCTCCCCTTCACTGCCCATGGGGAAGCGGGGCTCCTCAGGCTCGTCGGCTTCCGGAACGCACCACGGTGGCTGCATGTGGCAGGTGGAGGCATCTGCTGAGTTTCAGCCCCATCTGTAGTGCTCAGAGCAGCTTGACTTTGTGGCAGTGGCCTGTCACAGGCTCCATCCAGGAGGAAGCGGGCCAGGATGAGGGTCATTAGACCCAAGAGTACCGTCCTCAGCGTTCCCCAAGGGACCTGGCTGTGCCGTGCTGGCAGCAGGCCGGGAGTCGCAGAGCAGCCTCACTGCGCTCTGTCATTGCCCGTGAGGCTGCCCTGGGTGCCCCTCATGTGGCCAGGGCACGGCGCCCCCGGCAGCCCCCTCCACGGGCACAGGCTTGAGCAGGAGGATCGGACGGCACCCAAGCAGCACGTGGAGGCGCCCGAGCGTGGCCGCTGGCATGAGTATGGGGCCGGGAAGGGCGGCTTCCACCAATTGACTGCTCATGCCCCAGGGCAGGGGGAGAGCCTCGCTCCGGCTGACTGAGCCATGGGCTGCCCGCATGTCAGCCAGGCTATAGAGAAACCAGCCTGTCTGTCCGTGGACTGTGGAGTGAACCAGTCTGACCAGCTTCTCAGCCTCAGTGCCACCAACACTTGGGGCCCAGTCATTCTTTGGTGTGGGGCCGTCCTGTGCGCTGTAGCATGCCAGTCGGCTGGTGGTAGTGCATTGGCAGCAGAGTGAGTTCTTTAACTCGGGCTTCCTGGCCCTTGCCTGATACTCTCCCACTTGTCCCGCAGCAGCTGCCAGGGTAGAGGGACGCAGAGGGCTGCAGCCGGAGCCACAGGACCCAACAGGATGTGTGTCCCTGGGGGGCTGTGCCCTTAACCTGCCAACAGGACGATACAGCCAGCAGTAGCCACCCCTGCCCACCTGCCCAGCGACCATGGGGCCCGCCTCCTCCCCGAGCCCTAGAATGGAACAGCCTCCACCTTGCGGGCTCTTGGTGGAGGTGCAAGTGACGGCTCATAGGACCCTGCACACATGGGTTGCTTTTCCCTCCATTTCTTAGCGGGCAGGCCAGGCTCTCCTTATGTCACAGGGAGACAAGGACACGTAGTGGACAGAGGCTGCTCCTGGGGGTGACAGCTCTCTAGGGGTGATGCCAGGGCCTGTGTGACAGTTTAACATTCAAAGCACATCCTCATGTAGGACATCTCGCTTGGCCCTGGCAGGCGGGCGGGAGCCCCTGTTCCCAGTGTGCATGTGGGGGCCGGGAGCTCGGAGCAGCCACAGACCTGACTTGAATTGGGCTTGGCCAACCCCACATTCCACATTGTCAGGAGCCGTAATCACACAGCAGGCATATAAGGAAGTCGCACTCCATGTTTAGCCACGGCCAGACATGTTCGGGCAGGAGCTTTCCGGCGAGCTGAACGCAGAGGTCCTTACAGCCCGACCTCACGTCCGCCCCCTCCCTGCAGGGTCTGCCTGGCCGAGGTGTACCAGGACAAAGCACTCGTCGGGGACTTCATGAATCGGAAGGGTGACTACGAGGACCCGAAGGTAGGCCCCGCTAGGTCATCGGGCTCAGCCTGCCCCAGGGGGTCTCTGGTCCCCTCCCAGCCTTCACGCACGGACGCTCCTCCTGCACGTCCACAAGGCCGGCTCATTAGTTCCGTGGCCCTCGTTTGATGCTGCTCTCGCACCGGTTCTTAGAGATGGTTAGAGTCTGACACGCCACTTTGCAGTTGGGCCTATTTCATTGAGAGGGCAGCTCGTCACAAAGTCCAAACCACTAGACTCCTTGGGACATTAGCAGATAGGACAGGGCCTGCGTTTTCTGGGTACTTTGTGAGCAGTGCTGGGATAGCCATCTTTCCAGACCCAGGTCCCCTCGTCCCCCGCTCGCTGAGCCAGCCCTGGGCTCTTTGCATGTGTGTCAGGCCTATGCCAGGCAAGGCTGGTGATAGCACAGACCCGGCCCTTCTTGGGGAGCCCGGGGCAGCAGACAGGCAGGGAAGTGACTCCGCAAAGCGGAGTGATCACCCAAGGGGAATGCACAGGCCCACTGAGGTCGCACAGGGAGTACCAGTGCTTTTGGTGCAGATCACAGAACAGAACAACCCCATGGGGCTTCCAGCTGTTTCTCCCATGGGCCCAGCACCTCAGAGGAGGGCAGCCCTGTGTGGATGCAGCAAAGCAGAGACGTCCTCAAGGCCCCACGTTCAGTCTGTCACTCGCTCCTGCTCCCTAATGGCCAGTGCTCATCCTCACACTGGCCACGTCGTGGTTGTCCCCTGACAGCTGGAGCTTTGTCCTCCCCCCAGAATCCCAGGGCAGGAAGCATAGGGAGAAGGTGGCACTGGACCCCCGGGACCCTGAGATAGGAAGGGGCCAGCCTTGCCCAGAAGCCCCTGAGGATGCTGTCCTTGGTTTAGATTCATCTTGACTCCTCCCAGGAGGCTGGGCAGGCTGGCTCCCCAAATCAGGTCAGGGCCGGCTCCAGCCTGAGAAAAACCGGGCACCAGCAGTGGGCTACCAGTAGCATCTACCACAGAGGGCTTCCAAGGGGTTCGCACTTAGCCCAGCCTCCAAAGATGAGGGACCCACCAAGGCAGAGGAAGGGGGAACAGGGCCCGTGGGAGGGCCGCAGTGGGGCGGGCGCACACCCTCATCCTGCCACATGGGGCGGTGCGCCGCCCGCAGGATGGACTGGGGGTGAGGTGGGGGGAGGGGAGGGAACCTTGGGGGCCACAGTTGAGGGTGGGAGTGGAGGCTGGAGGCCTCAGTGCTCAGGGCAAGCCAGGAAGGAACAAAGCTGGGAAGAGGGGGGCAGGGCACGGGCCTACTGGCAGGTGCGCAGCCACAGGGCCCACAGGGAGCGTGTGGGACACACTTGTGTCTTCCTGGGGCCTGGGACAGAGCCGGCCACACAGGCGTGAGAGCCGGCAGCGTGTTCCTTGCCCTAAACCCCTGGTCAGGGTGGTGTCTGTCTCCTTCCCAGGTGGCCTCAGAGGAGGTTGCCGTCATCAGTCCACGTTTTGTGGGGGTGAGGGGGGTCGCTGCTCTGGGAATTTGTGACAAGATTTCCCTTGATGCATCAGTAAAACCACCCTTGGGGGAAAGAAAGGGCTTAATCTCATTCTCTCGTCCTGAAAGGTTTGTGCCAACGAATATAAAGAGTTTGTGGAGAAGCTCAAGGAGAAATTCAGTTCAGCCCTCAAGAACCCTAATCTTGAAATCCCAGACACGCTCCAGGACCTGTTTGCCAGGTGAGGCTCCTGGGGAGGTCCTGCGGGGTTCTTGTGGGGTGAGAGTTCAGTCACTGGCCATAGGCGTCTCCCCTGGTCAGCAGGTCCGTGGCCTTGCAGCCGATCCGGCCACGGCCCCGACTCTGCTCCAGCTCGCCTCCCCTCACAGGCGACTTGAAAAAGACGAGGCCGGTACCATCCCCAGCACCCCATGGGGGCCCCCATTCCCTCTCCCAGGGAGGCCCTGCTGCCGACTTGACCAGCCTCCAGAGCAGCTGGTGTGCAACTGCAGGGTAGAAGCAGCCCCTGTGGTTCACGGGGCCAGGGTTTGAGCTTCCACGGCTAGTCTCACTCCAGGGCCCCAGCTCTTTCCAGGTCAGCCTCTGGGCGCCTGGAGAACGTACTTGGGTCTGAGCACGGAACCCGTAAAATGTTGAAGTCCTGAGTTCTGGGAAGCAGGCCCAGCGCCATCGAGACGGCCCCTCTGGCCACTAGATCCCCGAATTTCTCCCTGTGGAGATGACGCCCATCTGTGGGTTCCTGTGTGGGAGCCGTGGGGCACGGTCACAGTTGGCCCCTGGCACGTCAGCCGGAGATCTCATTCTCTGATTCGCCCGGCGGATAATCGACATGGTGCCCGTGTATACCGGCAAGCGGCGCATGGCTGTTTCCAGAGCTGATGCCAGTCACTTTCTTGTGTTTGGGGCTCACGTTTGCAGAGTTGCCCAAAACTCTCAAATGGCATGGTCTGTGTTCAGTCTTCAAGGTGTTTCAGATGGCCCACGCACTCAGTAAACTTACAAGGCAACTTTTAGTTACAAAAAAAAAAAAAAAAACAGTTATAGATTTTTTATTTTTTTAAAGGAGAGTTCATGAACCAGCTGGAGGAAGGAAGAAGTCCCATCTAGTGGTAACAGTTTAACACCAGGTTTAATCTGGAGCCTTCTGGCAGGACAGGCGAGAAAGAAAACGGATCCAAAGACTTTGACTAAAACAGTTCACATTTCTTGTTACTAAATCGTAGGAAGAACTTACTGTTGCCAAGATGAATTTTGACTTAAGTGTTGTAGAGGCCGAAGAAATGTCTTGCAAATAAATGGCCGTGTTATTTTTTTAAAGTTAGTTCTGCAATTCCCTCTTATATTGCATTGCCTGGCCCTGTAGAGCAACGGCTGGCACGCTGGACTTCTCTTCTTGTATTTATTTGCTTGGTGGGAACACAAGAAAACAACAGTACTTGAAGCTCAGAAACACAGATGGGGACATAATCTGCCATCTCATACAGCTACTCCTTTTTGTGGGGTATTTTCTTCCAGGCCCACAAAAAAATTTTTTCTTTCTTATGTCTGTTTTTAATCCTCACAGGCCCACAATTTTAGATCCCCTTCCCTCAACAGTCCGTGGTGGCTCTCTGCCAGTACACTTCTGTGTTGGTTCATAATTGTCCATAAATGAACAGTCCTCATTTTCTCGGCCCTCCTTTTACCCACATAGTCATTTGATGAGCGGAGCATGGTATTTTCTCACTGTAATTGACATGTACATGTTTGAATGTTAACGAGCTTCACATGTTCTCCAGCACAGCAGCCAGTCAATGGCCATGTGATGCTAGCATCCGCGCGGTGAAGGTCCGCTGTGTTCCCTTGACATGCTCTCCTCTCGTTCCTTATGCAGATACCGAGTTTTGGCGATTGGAGATGAAAAGGATCCGACCAGGAAAGAGGATGAACTTAATAGGTGGGTATTGATTTACTGAGTGCCTTTCCCTCCACCCTTGATCGGGGCTGCCTGCGGCCCAGCACAGGGGTCACCCAGTGCCAGATCTCACCTGCCGGCCGTCTTTGTGAGAGGCGTGTGAGAACACAGCCACGCCTGTTGCAAGTGTCGTCTGTGCTGCTCTCATCCCACACCACCAGGTCAAGAGACGGAAATGTTTGTTATCTGGCCCTCTCCGGGAAAAGCTTGGCAACCCGGGTCTAGCCTCGCGTAGCAGTGGCTTTGCCTTAAAGTGGGTTGAGGAACCAGGTTGAATTCTCAGCCCGTGAGCTTTCCACGTGAAGCTCTGGTCAGCTGGTTTTTCTCCTGTTGGATAATCAGGATCCAGTTTGGCTTTAGCTCTGTATTTCAGTGAGAAGCCTCTCCTTTTTGGAGAAGAACTTGTTTAAGATTGAATGAAAATGGGGCACGTGGCTGGGCCAGTCCTGTAGTGCATGCGACTCTTGATCTCATAGGTAGGTAGGTAGGTAAGTCGATCGGCAGATAGATAGGTGGAAGAAACTCTCAGCCCTAACTACACTGGTCAGTTGTCACGTATACTGGTTTCCAGGGTACGGCACCGCTTACCCACTCGGCTCAAACATGTTTTCCTGCAAAGACTGATCAGTTTACTAACCACCACTAAGAACCACTGTTTGTGTTGTCTTGCTATGCAATGTCTATGCTTAGCCTTGGCATTCACTTCACTTTTGTGGGATCAAACACCTCTTTAACATAAGAACTGAACCCACCCGAGATGAGCGGTGCCTGTGGCGCACAGCCTCACGTGCCCGGCCGCCCGCCCCACTGTCTTTCAGCGTGGACGACATCCACTTCCTGGTGCTGCAGAACCTGGTGCAGAGCACGCTGGCGCTGTCAGACAGCCAGATGGAGTCCTGCCGCTCCTTCCAGGTGGGCTCGGGGGCGCGGTGGGCGCGGCCGTCTGGGGTGGGGCCGAGGGAGGCAGTCCTCGCTCGCTGTCTTCTCAGCTGTGTGGTCTCGGGTTGAGTCTAACGTTGAAGGCAGAAACGAGGAAGGAGAGCAAGTGAGCCAGGACAAAGAGCTGAGGCAGTTAAATGTGAGCCGTACCGCGTATCTTCACAAATCAAACGTCAAGGTACTTTGATCGCTAGAGATCGCCGCTCGGGAAAGCCGCCCTTCCCTGGGCCGGCCGCAAGCTTCGAGCTCTCCTGAGAACGTCTCAGAACATACCGCTGCTTTATCCTGGCCGAGTGAGGGTGGAGGGGAGGCCGGTGGTTCTAGTCCAGCCCCATCCTGCGCCTGGGGAGGTAGGTGCTGGTGGTAGCACTCGTCTACGGGTGTGGAAACTCGCATTTCTGAGGCGTGAGAAATCGCCACGGGCACTACGATCACACAACTCTCCATCGACCCTAAGTCCGTGTGGCTCTGGGGCCCCAGCAGAGAAGTGCCCATGAGGGCCTGCCCCTGCTCCAGGCCAGTGCCTCCCTTCTTTTCAGTGATCACACAAGTGTATTCCAAGTGGATCCTATTTACTTTTGCATTTAATCTCCAAATCTGAAACTCAGTACTGGTTTACAGTTTGGAACAGTCCAGTTTGGAACAGGAGAGGGGAAAATAAGAAAAAAAGGGATGGTATTATTTCTTTCTTTTTTTTATTTATTTTTTTATGCTTTTGCTACTTTGGCCAAAGGAGATGAACACTGGGGGGAGACGGGCAATTTGGGGGAAATACGTGGCCAGGTGTGACCACCCGCTCCAGAGCACCACCGTGGCCCGCATCCTATTACTGAAATGGCCAGGCCTCTGCAGACCCACGATCGAGTGCCCGTTCCATGGCTCTCTTAATTTGTCACCGTGAGGGGCAACTGCGTGTCCGGCAGTGACATCTGGCGCTGTCTAGTGGGAGGGTCCCCAGTCCTCCCGTTCTTCTCTCCTTGGTGCCACGGAGCACTTGAACCCTGCTCACTCATGTGATGTGTGTATGTCTCCAAGTGGGAGGCTGGGAGTGGTGCCTGCCTCGCTCTCCTCCATCCCAGCATCTTACAGGTACAGCGAGCAAAGCCTGTGTGCACCCGAGCACAGAACAGAAAGGAATAGGGCGGGGGAGGGCGGAAGTCCCAAATACACAGCCCCCAGGCTGGCCCTGGCTCTGTTTTGTGGGACCCGAGCTTGTTGAAAAACAAGAATGTTTTTTTCATTTACTGCCAGCATTGCCCATAAAAGTCCCAATTTCTGACTTTATATGTGTGGCCACGGAGGGACTTCTTGGCTCTTCTGCCCCACAGGGATTCGAGCTGGACAGGACCGTGGGGCTCAGTCCCACCGCCCATCACGCAAGCCCAGCCCCAAAGCTAACAGCCAAAGCCAGGTCCCCACATCCCACCCAGAGCCTTGTCCCCTGCATCAGTCTGCTGCTTGTCCTTCTTCCAGTTCCGTTTGCAGGTGGCGTCTGGGTTCTGGTGGGTGGTGCCAAAGGCCTGTCCCTCTCCTTGCCCCCCAGGGGCGTGGGAAGTTGCATGAGGCAGGGCCTGGGCCACAGCAAGAGGCAGGGCGCTTCCTCAGTGACTGTCCCACTGGCACTGAGCACTGGAGGGCCATCGAGGCCAAGGTCGGAGGCCATGTATGGGACCCCACGAGGCTCCTGGCAGCCCCAGTTCTGGAGGTGCACTGCAGGGAGGCAGCTGGAAGTCGCAAGCGTCCAGGTGGCTGTGGCGACGGTCTGCCTTCTGCACATCTGGCGGGCAGGGCCACACTCGTTCAGTCCCCAGACTCGCTCTGAGTGCCCGTCCAGTCATCGCCTTCACATGGAGGAGGAGAGATGAAGTCACACAAGCTTTTCTTTCTTTTTTTTCTTGAATATAATTTAGTGTTAAGTTGGCTAACATACAGTATATACAGTGCGCTCTTGGTTTTGGGGGCAGATGACAAGGCTTTTCACAGGATGAGGATCCCAGCTCCCCCTTCCCCCGAGGGCAGGAGTGCTGGCGTGTGGGCCACTCCCCCGCCTCTCCCCCTCTGCCCCGTGCAGTGCTCCCGTCAGGCCTGAGAGCCTGTGCACTCACCCGCAGCTCTGTCTAGAGACCTCGAGGGCGGCGTGCGGGCCTCAGACTGATGAGCCCAGTGTGTGCCCCGACGCCACTCTGGCTCCAGCAGCCTAGCTGACCGCTGCTTTGGTGCTGCCGATCCCCTGTCCCATCCCATCGTGCGGTGGTGAGGTCGCTGGACTCGAGGGCCAGGCCTCATTCTCTTCGCAGTCCAACCCCTGCCCGGCAAGCATTGTGGACTCAGAAGCTCCCTTGAAGTCCAGGAGCCTCCCCGTCTTCTATGGCACTCGTGGCTCTGGGGGCAATGCAGCAGAGAACCTTCCAGCCTAAAATTCTGAGATCGTGACCACACTTCTTCCTGGCCGGCGCTTTTGAGGAGATGGGCCTGGCATGTACTGTCCTGGGGTCTGGAGGAAGCCGGACATTCGCCATCAGGCCCCTTGGTCGAACCAACGCTTTTCAGAAGTGGGGTCGGCGGGGCTCTGCTGGTCCTGCTCTTCCTCTGGGCGGGGGCCAGACCTGAGCCGTGGGGACAGGATGGCATGGCTGGTGGGAGGGGCCTCTGCAGCGGGCCAGACACCGCCTTCCACATTTGCTTCGAGCCGGGTGCCAGGTGCTTCCGTGGCCACGGGGCGGCGTTGCATCTGTGCTCCTGTGGGACTTCCCTTCTGCTGCGGGGGAGGGGCCGCAGATAAGCGGATGAGGTCACTTCAGGGAGAGAGTTCCCAGAGACACGAAAACAGGCTCGTCTAATACAGTCGACTGCCAAGGAGCAAGGTGGAGGCAGGTTTGCTTCCAAAGGGGAAACCCTTGAGCAGGGAGCTGAATGTTGAGTCAGCCTTGCAAAAATGGGGGACGGTGGTTTCCAAGAAATGGGGGCTGCAAGCGCAAGGGCCCCAAGGCGGGAATGCCTTGGCTTCTTCTGGAAAAGTTAAAAGAGCGGTGAGGCCACAGTGGTGGGCAGAGTCCCACTCACAGGAGTCCTGAGGACGGGGTGTTCCAGCCACAGAGGGGAGCCATCGGGGTTTTGAGCTCCGGAAGGAGCATGCGGTCTGGCAGAGGAGTGCATGGCTTGGCTGCGTCGTCAACGGTCAGGGGTTGGGGACAGGTGGCGCCTGTGGACGCAGGGAGAGCGGTTTGCTGGAGGCCACAGTGGTGAGTGCTGGCGTGGACGGGCATAAAGCAGATGCAGATGCAGATGCATTTGGGAACATCCTGTGTGGGCGGAGCCAGCGGGACATCCTGCCGGGCTGGGTGAGGAGTAGGGAAAAGAGTGATACCCGAGTGATTCTGCGTTGACTCCCACTGTGTTTTCACCCGAAGACTCAGCTGTGGGGTGCAGAGTGGTCTTTCTCCCAGCTGCCTGTCCTTCTCTGTAGTCTCTGGGGGGAGACATGGCAGGGAGAAGTCAGAGGGTCGGGACTGCTGGCTCCCTCGTGGCGCTCCCGCACCACACCTCCAGGGTCCTGGGCCCCCTCCCCCCCTAGACGACCCCTGTAGCGCCCGCCCCTCCCCCGCTCCGCCCCAGAGCCAGGACAGCCCTGCTCACCGCTGCCTGGCTGTGTTGCAGACTTTCCGCCTGTACCGGGAGTATAAGGACCACATTCTGGTGAAGGCCTTCATGGAGTGCCAGCGGAGGAGCTTGGTCAACCGGCGCCGCGTCAACCACATGCTCGGCCCGAAGAAAAACCGGGCTCTGCCCTTCGTGCCCATGTCTTACCAGTTGTCCCAGACCTACTACAGGTGAGCCTGGGGCTGGGAGGCGCAGGGGGTAAGTAGCACCTGTGAGCACAAGGAATAGGGCACCGCCGCCGGGGCGTGGCCGCAAGTGCAGCACGGCTTCCCAACTGACTTCCCTCCTCTGCGCCTGTGCTTCCTGCGTGGGGATGAGGGCAGCGCTCACGGTGGTCTGTCTGGGACGTGTACCAAAATGCGTTTCCAATGTAACGATCAGACCAGCGGCACAGCGTCCTGGCCGGGCCTCCAGTCACTGTCACAGCTTGGAGCCGCACCAAGCCGCCTTGCGGGCTCGCACGCTTTGTTGTGAAGCCGTCCCACGTCCTCCTAGCTCCGCATGCAGCACAGCAGCCACCTGGGCAGTGGGGGGGGGGGGTGCTGTGCGTCACCTTCCGGCGCCTCCTGACAGGAGCCCTGCTCACGATGCGGCCTCCGCAGCCAGCGTGCCAGGTCTCTGTCGCCCGCTCGCCATTTGGTGCCACCGGCCTCCTTAACCACACGGAGAGGCAGTCTGCGGAAGTAGTCCCAGGAGCCACTCCTTGGCGGCCCTTGGCCTTGGCTCACCTCTTCTGCAGGCTGCTCTCCTGTCTGTCCTCAGATCTGCACTGAGGTCGTCAGAAGCAGGAGAATGGCAAAATGAGGGATCTGGGTTTTCATTCCTGCCTTTGACTCAGCACTCACACCTTTCTTAAAGGCCCCTCCCCAGGGACCTTCTGTGTCCTTAGCCTTCCTGGGACGCCACCTGCGATAGTACAAGGAGCCGTGGCTTGGGAAGCAGAAGCCATGGTCCGGGTCCTGCAAGGCCACTTCTCCACCGCTGGTCCCCTACAGCGCTCTGGCCTGTGGACCAGGGGTGGCGTTCACATCAGGAAGACCTCTGGGTCCCTCCCTGGGACCTGGGCCCCTGTGACAGGGACACAGGAAGGCACACTTACAGACAGAGGCCAGGGCTGGACTCTGCAGCCGCCTCATGGAGGCAGTGAACCAGACACGCTCGCGGCCTCTCATCTCCGTGTGCTTCGGGGTGGCCTTGCGTGAAGGTGAAGTTTATCACAAAACGCGCATCCATCTTCCCCGATCTGGTGGCCGTTCACAGCGAAAGGCCTTGAGGCACAGAGTAGCAAGTTAGATGAAAGGCCACGGCCCCACCAAGCAGGCGCCCCGGTGACAGGGAAGGCGTGCGCAGAGGTAGATTGGAACCCGGTGCCTTCCCGGAGGCGCAGAGAGGGCTTTGCGGGGAAGCCGGCATGGTCACTTTTAAACGCAAAGATCTGAAGCGCCTGTGGCCCGTCGCACGAAGCCCTCCAGCATCCCGTCCTCGGTTGGGACCTCACCCCCCCCTTTGTCCACACAGGATTTTTACTTGGCGATTTCCAAGCACCGTCTGCACGGAATCGTTCCAGTTCTTCAAGAAACTCCTGGCTGCCGGCAAGTTGGACCAGCCTGATAATTTTTCCTTCAAAGACCAGGACAATAATGAGCCTGCACGTGACATGGTGGCATTTTCTCTGGACGGCCCCGGGGGACACTGTGTGGCCGCCCTGACCCTCTTCTCCCTGGGCCTCATTTCCGTGGATGTCCGGATCCCAGAGCAGATCGTGGTGGTGGACAGCTCCATGGTGGAGAACGAGGTCATTAAGAGGTAAGGGCTGCGCGGCGGGCCCAGGCCTTCCCCGGGGGGCCAGCGTGCGGCGGCTCGCACTCCTCACCTGCGCCCACCTTCCTCCCCCAGCCTGGGGAAGGACGGGGGCTTGGACGAGGATGACGACGACGAGGAAGACTTGGATGAGGGCTCTGCGGGCAAGCACCGGGCCATCGAGGTGAAAGCCCGCCAGGCCTCCCACACCAACTACCTGCTGATGCGCGGCTACTGCGCGCCCGGCATCGTCAGCACCCGCAACCTGAACCCCAACGACAGCATCGTGGTGAACTCCTGCCTGGTGAAGTTCCGGCTCCGCCGCACCCCCGCGCCCACCCGGCTCTGGCCCGTCGGTGAGCGATACCCCACCGGCCGCCCTGTGCCCCGACCCTCGTCACCCACCTGCCAGCCTCGCGCAGGAGCCCCAGCTGACCTGGCTGAGACGAACCCTGACCCCGCTCCTCCCGGGCCGCCCCCTCCAGCGGCTGTGGTAGAGCAGACCCCATCTTCTGTTCCTCTCTGCCACACCCCCGCAGGGCCCCCCGGCCCGTGTCCCGCCTTGTCACCGCAGCCAGTTTTCTCTGTCACTCGAAATCACACAGTTACAAACGTTTTAAGTGTCACCTCTGATCCCCTGCTATGATAGCTGAGTCTTCAGCTTACGTTCATTGTCTGTCACCTCCGTTATTTCCAACGATTACACTCTTTCTGGCTCTTCTGTCAATTACGCATGAAACTCTAAGTAGCCTACCTACACCTCCCTTGGCCGCGTACCCTGGCTGTGAGGCCATCCCTCCTCCCTGGCACCCGGACCCCTGCCCAGCCCTCTGGCCTCCGCCCTCCCCTCACCCCCCTGCTGGGGGGCACGGTGTCTGTCTGCAGTTCCAGAACCCCAGTTGGTGTCCTGTGCTCTGGAGCTTGGCCCGGGTGCAGATGTGGTCCGTGTGACTGCGGTCGTGGCAGAGACCGCTTTTATGGGAAGAACACACGCTGGCCCTGGCTCGCGGGAGCACACGCGGGCTGTCTCCCAGGGTCTGGGGAGCCGGGAGCACAGGAGCACCAGTGAGGCAGGCCCCCCACCAGGGCACCGAGGCTGCAGTTCTCAAACTCTGGCCCCAAGGGCATCGAGGGACACGGGGTCAAAAGCCTGACTGCCAGGGGCGGTGCCCCATGTCCCCAGAAGGTCCCCTTCACTGTTTGGGGGGCAGTGAGTGGGCACTGGAGCTCGTGCTCCGGCCTGGGCTGATGGCGGGGCCTCCTTGTCCTCACAGCCACGTCCCTGGAAGAGCTCCCAGTGGGAATATCCTGCCTCCCCGACACGTTCACCAGGCTCATCAGCAGCCAGGAGGGCCCCTGCGGCCTGGAGGAGTTCGTCCACCAGCTGGAGCTGTCCGGCTACGAACCCGGGGACGTGTGCGCGGCACTGGAGGTCCAGGGGGCCATAGCGGCCACGGGGTGCTTCGGGGTGGACCGAGTGGAGCTGAGCAAGTGGTTCTCTGCCTTCGAGAGGACAGACAGCGAGCGCACCAGGACCTTCGCTGACTACATCCAGGTGGGCCGTGCTCCCGGGACACTGGCCGGGCGGGCTCGGCTGGGGCCACGCTGTGACGGAATCAGGTGGCGAGCGCCTCCGCGACCGTCCCCATCCTGCACCACCCGGCTAGGAGTCCTGGTTCCAGGACGGGAACTGACTGCGGCAAGGTTCTCGAACCCCCACCTGGGGGCTTTCAAATCTAGAAAGAAAAAGAAAGACAGCCCCGTGTTGGCGCGGGGCCTAGATCAGAACGAGGGCCTTGGGAGCAGGGCTCTGCATAAGTACACGAGTAGCTCCCATCATCACGCGGGAACAGAGCGTGGGGCGTGGGGCTCCCCAGGAGGATGGGCCACGGCAGCGTCAGGGGCGCGGCTGTGGTCCCGAGAGTTCACACCAAGCCGAGAGAGGGGGCCACCTGGGGCTGGAAGCCAGACCCAGGTCCGAGATGTCCTTCCCGGGGGAGCCGGGCTCACCATTTGCTCGGGCCGCTTGCACATGTTGGGCGAGGGAAGCGGGTGTGAGGACCCTGGTCCCGTGCAGACCCCCCCGTCTCCCGCTTCTCCTAGGACCTCCTGGAGCACCACCAGGTGGTGGAGGTCGGCGCCAACACGGTTCGCCTGGTGGCCATGGCCTCTGCCCAGCCCTGGCTCCTGCACTCAGTGCGGCCAAAAGGCAAAAAGGAGGATGCAGATGCTCAGAGAGCAGACCCCCGGGGCCCCCGGGGCCCCAAGAGGCGTGCCAGCTGGACAAGCAGCGACGTGGCCCGTGCAGGCGGGGACACCGACCTGGAGAGTCCCCAGAAGCCCCCCGCTAAGAGGCCCACGCTCCAGGATGTGCGCTTGTCCCTGAGCCCCGGAACCAGAGCAGCAGAACAACCAGAGGCCCCTGCGCGAGCCCCGCCAGCAGCTCCCGGGGACGCGGATGTGCAGGAGTCCAGCCCAGGGGCGCCCGAGGCCAGCCAGGAGCACCGAGAGGACCTCGGGGTGCCCAGCCCTCTCAGCCAGGAGCTGCTGAGCTGTCAGGCCCAGCTGCCACAGGGATCGGAAGACCCCAGAGGTACCGAGCCTTGTCTGCCAACTCCCCATCCCCCACCTGCCCATCCTGTGCCCTTGGGCCGGAGGGGCCCCCACATGTTGCCCCGAGACTGGGAACCTGCACCAAGGCAGCTTCCTCCAGCCGTTCCTTATAAGGAGAAAGGTCTTGCCTGCGTCCGCTTCCTGCTTCCACTAGAGGGCTCCACAGGGCCGAGCGGGTGGCAATCACCCGCATGGACTCGGGGGTGGAGGGCACTGTGTGCTGAGGTGTCCCATGCGAGGGAGCAGTGCCCAAAGCAGGAGGCGCCTCGCTTTCTGCCAGGATTGGCGGAGGCGCGGGGACGGAACCCTGCCGCTTTCCCATCCGGCGGCAGAGATGCTGCTGTCTGTGCAATGCAGCCTCTGCAGCCGCCAAAGGGTCTGCCTGGCGTTTATGCCCAGGGCTCTGCAGCCGGGGCCTCGAGGTGGGAGATAAGGGGCTCCTCGGGGCCCTGGGGACACCCCACACACTCGCACACCATGGCCCAGCCCAGTTTTGTTCTGGGGGTGCTGGCTGTGGCCCCCATGAGCTCGCTGCTCCGTGAGGAACATGGCTGCCGTCCCTCCGCTCGCGCTCTCGTCCCCAGAGCCCCAGAGCCCACACGTACGTGTGGTCCTCAGGGAGGAGGAGGAGATGGACCCCACCTCTTAGGTCTCTCTTGACCTTTCTGTCTCCCACCAGGTTCGGCAGAGAGTTCCGTGGCCGCCAGCCTGTCCCAAGCAGCATGGGAAAAGTGAGTGTGTGCCCAGATCCAGGTGACCCGGGTGGGGCGTGGAACGAGGGTGGGGCACATGTCCCCAGGGTCCCCGCAGTGATCATCACATGGAGACTGTTCACCGTCTGGCACAGTGATTCTCAGCAGGGGGCCCTGCGGACTTGGGGGACTTCGTCCCGCTTGCTGGAGGGACAGAGCAAGGTCCCGAGGTGTAGACTTATGCAGTGTGTGGGTCCATCTGGAGCCCTGGGCTTCTCAGGGGGCTTTTTGGGGCGGGGGGCGACCCCACATGTGTGTGTGCGCGGCCCTTCCATGGCGGGCACAGCCCAGTGTCCAGCCGCTCCCAGGCCTGTTCTGTGCCAGGGCCCCTTGTCGCAGACCAGGCAGACCAGCTCCCCAGCAGTAAGGGGGAGACTGCTGGATACGACCTGAGCTGGGCCCAGTGTGGAGGCAGCCGGTGCCTCAGGGTCCAGGACAGAGCTGGTAAATCCAGAAGTCAAAGCTCTTCCCCTCCCCGGCCAGTGGGGGGTCCTGCGGGGTAGGCTCATCAAGGCCTCGGTTGAGACTGAGGGGGTGTGGGTCCCCTCCATCCATGTGGGAGGGGCCTCAGCGCCCCGCCCGCCAAGCCTGACCCCGCCTACCGCACCCACAGGGACGGCGAGGGCGTCTCATTCGTCGCCCGCCCATGGCGCATCGTGGATGGCCACCTGAACGTGCCGGTGTGCAAGGGCATGATGGAGGCCGTGCTCTACCACATCATGACCCGGCCCGGTGTCCCCGAGAGCTGCCTGCTGCGGCACTACCAGGGTGTGCTGCAGCCAGTCGCCGTGCTCGAGCTGCTGCAGGTGCGGCCGCCCCGCCCCTGCCCTTGAGCAGGGCTGCTGGGGCTGGACTGTTGGGGGGGGGTGCAGTTCTAGGCTCTGCCTGAGGGTGCACAGACCCACCCCCCACCCCCGCCCAGACACGTGCTCCCCTCCCCCCCATGAGCCCCACACCCGTCTCCCACCACCACCACCACACACACACACCCACCCTGCCCTTGCAGCTCCCTGGATGGGTGGAGGTCACCGTCAACCTGGGTGTCCCACCTCTGCAGGGCCTGGAGTCCCTCGGCTGCATTAAGAAGTGCTTGCTGAGAAAGCCCGCGGCCGTCTCCCTCTTCTCCCAACCCGGGGTGCAGGAGGCCCCGGCGCCCTCCAGCCTGAGTGGGAGCCCCACGGTGTTCTACGAGCCCACGTTGGACTGCACCCTGCGCCTGGGCCGCGTGTTCCCCCATGAGGTCAACTGGAACAAGTGGATCCACTTATGAGGCACGTGTGGCCACCACGACCCCCCTCCCGCACGGGCCCCCTGAGGTGGGAGTGACTGGGGGACGGGGCTCCACTTTGCCCAGCGCGCCCACCCTGTGCACAGGGGCAGGTCTGTGCCAAGGGAGCGCTCCCCCGGGCTGGCCTTTCCGCCCTGCTAGGTCACAGCGCGGCCTGTAAGGGAGCCCCTGCCAGGAGACCGGCCCGCTCTCCCCCTCTAGTTCCCGGGGCACGGCCCTCTCTGGCAGCTGGATGGTGGCGAGTCCAGACGGCCCAAGCGGGCCTGGACTTGGGTGGCTTCCAAGCTGCAGCCACCACTGGGAAAGAGCCACCTGCCTGGCACCAGGGTCTCCTGCGGCCCTCAGCCTTGTCCTTTGGCCACAAGGGGTCGGGAGCTCGCGTTGCTCACCCCTCCATTGCAGATGGCGGCCACCATGGTGCCCCTGGGCGGCAGGGCCCCGGCAGGGACTTTCTTGCTCCAGGCGGGACACCTGACCGAGCCCCCGGAGAAGAGCCCGCGTCCCTCTGCAGCCTGGCCAGCCGCCCGCAGGCCTCGGCGGGGCGGGCACTGCTTCCTGCCGCTGCAGCCCAGGGGCCACGGAGGCCTGGGATCTGTGTGCTCTTTTCACCTTTTCTCTTAAAAACAAAAAAAAAAACATCTCTTGGCATGTATTTATTTTGTGTTTTTTTTTTTAATTAAAGTGAAGTAAAATGCATTTAGTTTTGTGTGTTTCCTAAAGAACGCCTGATCCCCTGGGGGGGTCCCCTGCTTTCAGCTGCGAACAGCCAGGAACAGACATTCCCAGTAAAACCAGAACAGTAAAACCAGAGGAAGAGGGGGCGGTGCCTCTGCCCAAGACCCCTCCTCCTCTTCCTCCTCCCCTTTCCCCTTCCCCTCCCCTCCCCCTCCTCCTCCTCCTCCTCAGCAGGGCCCCGGGCCTGGCCTTGACAGAGAAGGGCCTGCAGGTTCGCCTGCCAGAGAGCTCACAGGCCTGGGGCGTGGGCTTGGGGAATGGAAGCCCTCTAGCTCTCTCCCCTCCCCTCCCCTTCTTCCATCTGTGTCTGTGTGTCTGTGTGTGTCCGTTAATTGCCAACACTTAAGAAAAAATACTGGAGGGGCACCTGGGTGGCTCAGTTGATTAAGCGTCCAACTTCGGCTCAGGTCATGATCCTACAGTTCATGGGTTCGAGCCCCACGTCGGGCTCTGTGCTGACAGCTAGCTCAGAGCCTGGAGCCTGCTTCTGATTCTGTGTTTCCCTTACTCTGACCCTCCCCTGCTCACGATGTCTCTCTCATAAGCAAATAAAACACCAAAATTTCTTTGAAAATTGGACATTTCACATCTTTTAAAACTCCAGATTTCTACCTTGTTGAAAAACGGAGAGACCCAGCAACAACTGCAACCAGCAGCCGGAAGTGTGGGACGTGCCCAGCCTCACCCGCCAGGTTCTTGGATGTAAAGAGCAGCCCACCCAGACCGGGTCTGATCTGCAGTGCAGAGCAGGCCAGCTCGTGGCCCGGTGTCTCTATCCCGGGACCTGGACCCTGGTCACCCCAGGCCAGCCTCCAGGGTGACGAGGGGCAGGATGGGCACAAAGGAAGGGAGTCTGAGGGTGAACCCCAGCACAGCCAAGACCGATCTTAACATCATCTTGTTTTCTTTTCTCATTTTTACTCATTTTTACTCAAATGTAAAAGAAGTAGTATTTAGGGGGATTTTTTTTGACACCAAATAGAATAAGGGGTGCTCTCTGCTCTATGAACAGAAAATACTTCACAAATGCCACGCGCTTCCTTTGGGAACATGTGTGGGAGGAGAGAGAGGGTCACGGGAACCCAGTGTTGGCATTCATGTCTCAGAGCTTTAGTTTTCTCCTTTGAAAAATGGAGGTCCTCGCAGGAGGACCAGATACACTGAAGAATACGAGGTGCGAGCACATGGTAGGGGTCAGCAGAGTTTATCTTCTTTTCTGTCCCCCCCCCCCCCAACGATGAACGATGGTTTGGGCCTGTGTTTGGGGGATAGGACAGTGACGAGGAGTGCAGCCCTCCGGTGGAGAGATGGGCTTCTGTTACATTCCACAGCCACCCATTCTGTGCAAGGATGATCTGTTCCTCACTCTACCCACCTGTACATCTGTTCATCTGTCTGTCCACCCACCAATTCATCCATCCATCCATCCATCTGCCCATCCATCCACCTATCCATCCATCCACCCATCCACCTATCCATCCACACATCCATCCATCTCTCTGCCCATCCACCTATCCAACTACCCATCCATCTGTCCATCCATGCATCCATCCACCCATCCATCCTTCTGCCCATCCACCCATCCATCCACCCATCCTTCCATCCGTCCATCCGCCCACCCATTTGTCCACCTGCCCATCTGCCCATCCATCTACCCATCCATCCATCCATCCACCCGCCCATCCATCCATCCATCCATCCACCCATCCATCCTTCTGCCCATCCACCCATCCATCCACCCATCCATCCATCCATCTGCCCATCCGCCCATCCATTTATCCACCCGCCCATCTGCCCATCCATCTACCCATCCATCCATCCATCCATCCACCCGCCCATCCATGCATCCATACATCTGCCCGTGAGGGCACCTGACCTGTTCACCCCGGCCTGCCCCTTGCTGGAACCACAGGGCCCACCACAGGGCCCAGACACCCGTGCTTCTGTCCATTCTGTGTTCCCACCTGCCCCCCCAACTCATTTGGTTCTTATTCCTTTTAACTTACATCTGCAACACGGTAATCCATTCTCTTTAAAACACTTAAAACAGGGGGCGCCCGGGTGGCTTAGTCGGTTAAGCGTCCGACTTTCACTTGGGTCATGATCTCACGGTTCGTGGGTTCGAGCCCCGCGTCGGGCTCTGTGCTGACTGCCAGCTCAGAGNCATTTGGTTCTTATTCCTTTTAACTTACATCTGCAACACGGTAATCCATTCTCTTTAAAACACTTAAAACAGGGGGCGCCCGGGTGGCTTAGTCGGTTAAGCGTCCGACTTTCACTTGGGTCATGATCTCACGGTTCGTGGGTTCGAGCCCCGCGTCGGGCTCTGTGCTGACTGCCAGCTCAGAGCCTGGAGCCTGTTTCAGTCTGTGTCTCCCTCTCTCTCTCTGACCCTCCCCTGCTCATGCTGTCTCTCTCTCTCCTAGAAATAAATAAAACATTTAAAAAAAAAAACACTTAAAACAGTACAGGTAACACTTAAGCCTCCAAGCTCCTTTCCCCTGAAGACGTTTTTCTTTGTGCCTCCACTTTATGAGCCCTACAAAACAGGGGCCTGTGATGCCCTTTTCACATAAAATGTCCCATAGATAAAGCCCAGTCCACTCCCCCAACGGGGTCCCTGGCACACCTGCCTCTGGACATCTCCCCCTCACCGGCATACCTGTTCCTGATGCAGAACTCGATCCCCTGACCCTGGGGTCATGACCTGAGCCAAAATACCGGCACCCACGTCCTGAATTTCCTCCTCCTTGCAGCTGCCTCGCGGGCCCCGCCTCCCTTCTGTCTTGAGTCCTCAGATCTTGTCCAGCCCTCCTCCCGGGCCCCTCCACCCAGTCCCCCTTCCTCCCCTTCCTGCCTTTTTCTCACCTGGGCTGAGAGTGATCTCTCCCTCCGACCCTTGGCCCACTTCTGCCAGGGATTTTCCAATGGTGCATGTATGCGTGGATGTGTGCATAGACGTGTAGGTGTGTGTGTGTGTGTGACTGTGCGTGCACATGTGGGATCTCCCTGCTTTGTGAGATCTCACCACCCCCGTGGTCCGGGGTCCTGTGCCTGCCCAGTCTCCCAATGCATAGAAGTCAGCCCTGTCCAATTAACAAAAGGACCCGTCAGTTCACCGTGTGTCCTCACCACCATATTCCCACTGCAGAGGGTTGCTGTGACCATCAGACTTGACACAGCACCTGGCAGATGGAGAGAAGAGCATGAGGCCAAGTTCCAGTGGTCACCAGCAGGTGACAGCACTGATCCTTGCTCGTTCCGCTTCCTCTGGTCTGTCCAGCCTCTGCTGCGGTTGAGATCAAATCTCAACCTCAAATCTGTTGCCACTAGGGATGGAGGAAAGACCCCTAGATGCCCCGTGGTGTGTGCAACAGGGAAGGGGCCCCTGTTCCATTTACAGACTTCCACGCAGGTCCCTGTCTTCATCTCTGTGTTCCGTTCTGTGGCATTCCCAGAGTCAGGGCGAGGAGGCTCCCTCCTGGGCTCAGTCCTCTCCTTCCTCTCTGCCCACTGCCTTGTCAGCCGATACTCTGCCTTCGGATGATTCACTCACTCATTCATTCATTCACTCAGCATTTGCTGAGCACCTGCTATATGCCAGGCAGTATTCGAGACTCTGAGAGATAGAAGGGAATAAAACAGACAAGACCCAGGGCGCCTGACAGCTTAGTCGGTTAAGCATCTGACTTTTGATTTTGGCTCAGGTCGTGATCCCAGGGTCATGGGATCAAGTTCTGCATCGGGCTCCCTGCTGATCATGGAGCCTGCTTGGGATTCTCTCTCTCCCCCTTTTTCTCTCTGCTCCTCCCCCACCCTCTCAAAATAAATAAACATTTAAAAATTCTTCAGAGGAAACTGAGGCTCAGAGACAGCAGGCGTTCGTGAGAAGGGATGGAGCCTGGTCCCCCGGCTCCCAGGATGGGAGTGGAGTCCTCACGTTTCCCACTGCAAGTGACACGAAACCATCTCAAACCCACTGAGGCCAAAAAAGGAAACTCATGGCTCCTCAGCCCCGTCAGGCCAGGCTGGGCTGTGCTAACAGGCAGTCCCCACATCTGGTCGGGTTACACAGGGATTGATTTCTTGCTCACGATTCGGGTCCATCTCGGGTAAGGCGGAGGCTCCGCGCTCCAAGTCTCCTCATGTGAGGACCCAGGCTGATGGGGCCGCCCGCCAGCACCTCCGTCACTGCTCACGGTGGCAAAGAGGAGCATCAGTGGTCAGGGGAATGCTCTGGCCCAGAAGTGAGACGTCACCACCTCTCCTCACAGCCCACAGGCCAGTCCGGGTCACGCGGAACCACACAAGAGGGCCCAGAGTGTGAAGAGCTGGGAACATTTGGTCAACAGTATAACGACTTCCATACCCATGGTTTCAGGCATGGCTGGATCCAGCAGCTCAAGAGGTGTCACCAGGAATCTCTCTCCACTGCCGGCTCTGCTTTCTTGGGTGTTGGCCTCATGCCAGGTGAAATGTTCCTTCCTGGCGCCCCCCCCCCCACACTGCAGCCCCAGGCTTTCTTTAGTCGGCCCCTATTGTTCAGAGGTTCCGGCAGAAAGAGCACACAGGCTGCTCGGGTCACATGCATGTCTCTGAACCAGTGGTGTGGCTGGGGGGGACGGAATGCTCTGTCAGCGAGGCCTGGGTCTTGCACAGCCCCTCCTGGAGCTGGGTCAGCAGCCCCACACAGATACCGCACAGGCAGAAGCAGCAGGCACCCATGGGTGTTACCTCGACCTTGGTCCCTTCCAGCAGAGCAAGGGCAGGAAGAGCTATATTTGGGATCAGGAGACTAGAGCCCCAAGTGGGGCTCGAACACACGACCCCTGAGATCATGACCTGAGCTGAAGTCGGATGCTTACTTGGCAGAGCCGCCCAGGCACCCTGATCCTCCTGGCTCTTAAGAGTCACTCACGGGGGCGCCTGGGTGGCTCCATCGGTTAAGTGTCTGACTCTTGATCTCAGCTTGGGTTATGATCTCGCGGTTTGTGGGTTCAAGCCCAGCGTCAGGCTCCATACTAATGGCAAGGAGCCTGCTTGACCTTCTCTCTACCCATCACCTGTTCGTGCTCTCTCTCCCTGTCTCTCAAAATAAATAAACTTAAAGAGACAGAGAGACACTCATCAGCACTCCTGGCCAGGCCTCTGGGTGACAAGGAGCCGCCTTCTCCACCTCCAGGTGCTCGGGGCTCCGTCACACCTCCAGGCCCTTGTTCAACCTCTTCCTTCCACCCGAAGAGCTGGTGCATCTAACAGTTCCTATTCATGTTTCAAAGTCCATCAAGCACTGCCTCCTCCCTGAAGCCCCCCAGCCCGTCCCAACGCCCCTCTGGGCTCCCACGAGCAGCATGCTTCCGGGGCTGGCTCGGCCCAGCTGGGACAGTGGATGGCTCGCATCTCCTTCCAAATCCTGTTTAGATCCCAATCCCGTTTAGAGTCATTAGCGGTGAGTAGTCAGATGAGTAGTTTAAAATTGGCCATGTACACCATGGAAAAACACGCATGGCGCACACACTACAAATGGGGCTTTTCTGAGCGCCTCGGGCGTGCCGGCTGGAGATGGAGCAGTGAACAAAATAGAGTCGCCTTTGTGGAGCTTAGAGTCCACTTGCCGTCTTTGGTCCCTGGCCACCGTTTCCAGGGTCCTTCCTTCGGGCTTTCACTGTCCATCTGTCCGCCCACCAGTGTACCCACTGGCCCCTCTGTTGTCCAGCCACCCACCTCTGCTCACTTGGCCTCCCAGGGAGCCCAGCTCTTGCCTCTGTTTCGCACTGAAGTGTAGGAGCTGAGTCCTCTTCAGAGACTGGGCCAGTGAGGAGCGCCCCCCACCAACCCCCAGGCCTGGCTTCAGTGACCCTAGCGCCCCTCCCCCGTGCCCCGGCCCAGAGCTCTGTGGGCTGGAGGGCTGGGCTGCCTCCCCAGGGGGCTGGTGGCTCAGGTGGCCCCTGGAGCCCAATGCCCCCGAGAGGATGTGAAAACCACAGCACCCCTTGGCCCGAGTGTCCCCGGGGTGATTGTGGGGGGTGGTGAGGGCTGCTCGCTCGTGCAGGGGCTCCGGTTTCAGACTCCAGCTCCCATCTAAGCCTCACTCACTTTGAGCCCAGGCCAACAGTCCCACGGGTGAGGCCATCTGTGTTCTAGAACATTCGGCACCACTGAGTCTCATGTGCGACTCTCTCGGGGACTTCCCCAATCACCCCATTTTACAGATGAGTCACAGTGAGGCTTTCAGCTGACTGGCTGACTTCTACCGACTTGTAGGTCAGGTTCATCCAAGAGGAGAGAGAAACCGGAGCTTTCTCCTTTAGAAAATGTCATGCTGTGGCCCGGCTTCTGGGGAGAAGGACAGGACAGGGTCTGACAGTTCCAGGCAGGAGCGGGGATGCCCCCAGGGCTGAGAGCAGGCCGGCTGAACCCCACTCTCTGCCTCCTTAACCCTGCTTGGCACTCTTGAAAAAGCCGTCTCTAGGGGGCGACTGGGTGGCTCTGTCATTTGAGCATCTGACTTCAGCTCAGGTCATGATCTTGCGATTCATGAGTTCGAGCCTCACGTCGGGCCTGGAGCCTGTTTCAGATCCTGTGTCTCCCTCTCTCTCTCTGCCCCTCCCCTGCTCACTCGCTGTCTCTCTCAAATATAAATAAACATTTTTTTAATTAAAAAAAGAGAAAGAGCCATCTCTAAAGTTGGGCACCCTTACTGGAAAAGCCCTGTATGTTCTTGTATTTTTCGTTATTGTTCAAGTAGGAAGTGACTGATCCCTAGCGCCTGGTCAAAACTCATGTTCAGTAAGGTGTCTTCCAATGTGGCTAAGACGTATTATCTTCTTAATTCACATTCGAACAGGCTCTCTGATAAATCATCAACGAGAACTTAACTTTCCCCTAATTCCCCGGGGGTGAGCAAATAAGATGTCAGGGGGACGGAGGGCTTCATCATCGCTGCCCATCCCTGCCGGCCCCTCCCCCAAGGGAGGTTCCCGCCACCTACCCCGCACTGCCCCCCCGCCGTGTGCCCCAGAACCCGGCACAGGGTCTAGCCCTCATTTGTACCCCATAAATATTTCTTGGGTGCGTTGAGGGAATAACTAAGTGGGCAGCTGGAGCCAGAAACAGAAATCTTGGTTGGCGGGGGCTGTTTCTAAGAGGCTGATTTTAACCCTGGAAACCCCCTGCGGGCCCCTCGGTCCAGTGGGACAGCCCAAGGCTGCGGCTGCTTCTCAACCCCGCCCACCTCCAGCGTGAGCCTCAGTCGGGGGCTGCACAAGGAAGGAAGCTGAGTTTATTGAGGGTCTGGCCTGTCGCACTCGTACTCTCCCCATGGTGGGCCATGCCCCCCATACCTTGTCCAGACAGGAAAGTCTAGCCCAGAGAGGGGACTCGGCTGGCCCAAGCCGGCACAGACCAGAGCTATCACAGTTGGGAAGCAGACCTCAGTCCACAGCACCCCCTCCCCCAGAAACCTTCCCACATGCAGGGTCACAGTGGGCTCACTCCATCTTCTTCCCCTCCCCCTGGAAAGTGAAAGGGAACAGTACAGACTTCTTGCGGCTCCTGGTGGCGGGACCTGGAGGGCTGGGATGCAGCCATCGTGGGCAGGGCAGTGAGCACATGACCCGGGACCTCCCCACGTGTCAGGCCAGGAGGGAGGCTGTCATCCTGAGCACACGGCCACAGACACATCTGTGCACATGGGGACCTCACGTAGGCACAGACGTACATGGCCTTGGGCCTGTGGCTTCACCACGGCCATGCACCATGTCCACTGGCATGTGTGCTGCTCACGCAGGGACACACCAGCGCGCGCCTGGGTCACACACGCGCGCTGTGAACAGCAGGCTCGGGGCCCCATCGGGGGGACCAGAGGTCGCAGGCCCCTCTGCCCTCCGGCCCAGGTGACCGCAGCTCTGGCTCAGGGCCGAGTGGCTCTAAACGGCCACTCAGCCCCACTAGCTGGCCTGGGTCCCCGCTCCCTCAGGCGGAGGGGTCACGACCACCCACTGGCGGAGGTAGCTCCTGGGGGGCCCTTCGTCCCTGGGGCTGGCGAAGTCACACTCCACGGGGCTCCCACAGTCAGAGCCCGCAAAGCCACTGTCGAAAGTGTCCATGTCCAGGCCGGCCGGGGGCGAGCCTGCCTCACTGTCAGACACCCCGCGGGGTGGCCCGCCGCTCCAGCGCGGCCCCGGGGTCCACCCCACCTCCTCCGTGAGGGGCAGCTTTAACCTGTCAAGGAGGCTGCCCAGAGGGCCTCCCGGCCCGGCAAGGCCACCAGTTGAGACGCAGCCGCAGGAGAGGACCGTGGTCCCCGTGTCCAAGAGCGGGTCCTCAGTGCTCGAGCCGGCCTCTAGACTGGCGTCCAAGTTCAGGGCTGGGTAGCCATCATCTCCGCAGGTGCAGGACCAGGCGCACGGCCCCTCGGTGTCCGCCACGGTTACCGTGTCAATGGACACGAGGCCGTAGGGTCGGTCCCTCTCCTGGCTGAAGGCTGAGCCGCCAAGGCCGCTGGCCACGCAGCCGACTGGGCCCCAGAAGCCCGTCTCAGGCAGCCCGTCCGCCTCCAGCAGCTCTGTGGGCTCCGGCCCCTTGCAGGCCCCGCGCGGCGGGCAGCAGGCGTGCATCTCCAAGGACGAAAGCGCCTCTGGGCTCCAGCGGACCAGCTCCAGGCTGGACGCAGAGAAGGGTGTGGCCACCCATTTCTGTACAGGAGAAAAGGGCGCGGTCAGGACAGGACACGAGCGCGGAGGGCACGAACGGGCGGACACAGACGAGACAGAGGCAGCGAGTGGCAGAGCCACTAGCAGATAAAGAGAGCGACAGCGGCCAGGACCACGGTGCGCCCTAGCCAGCCTCGCTCCTCACCGCTCTCCCTCCCCCTCCCCCACGGGCCTCAGTCTCCCCCTCTGCGGTAGCCTCGCAGACAACTGGGGCTCAGAGGTCCGGGCTCTGCGTAGGGTCTGGGTAGCAGGTGCCAAGATTCCCGAGTGGCGGGGACATGGGGGCAGGAGGGCCTGAGGCCCGGGTGACAGGGCCGTGGCCTGGTCCCCGGGTTCATTTCCTCCGGGACAGTTCTTGAAAATGAACGTTTTCCTGTTGGCGCACCCACAAGTGTGGACACTTCGGGCAGAAGCCTCACTTCCAGTCACAACCATGTCCCTAGAGTCTCACACAGTGCCTCGCACACAGCAGGTGCCCAATACATGTTTATTAACTAAAGGAACGCACACAGCAAATCAGTAACAAGCCGCTTGGAAAGGCCTCTGTGTGCTTCGTGGGGGATGTGAGCTGATGAGGGACCGAGGCAGCGGCCCCCAAGCTTTGAGAGTCCACCAGCCCTTGCTGGCCAGGGGTCCCCCTGGTGACACAGGGTCCCCATCCAACGGGCAGTGAAAATCCCCAAGAAACCAGGACCTCCCGGGTTGGGAACCTGCGGTTTCAGAAAAGTCATCTCAGGACCCAGATGAGGCCGCCACGACTGATTTGAAATCGCTCCTCAGCTGGGTGGCATGGCCACCTGTTACATGGCCTTTCTGTGCCTCAGTTTTCTCATCTGCAAAATGGACCTGCCAGTAGCACCCACTCCCCAGGGCTGTTGCAAAGAGTGAAGGAGGGCACATCTCTGCAGCTCCTGGGTATCAGTGCCGTGCGCACCAAACAGGCGTGGTATGTGAGCCTCAGGGCAGGGGTGGAGGGGAAGGAAAGCCTCTCTCCCCCATGGGGGTAGGAGCCCGGGCCTCTCCCCTGCCTCACTAAAGCCATCTCCCTGCCCTGAGCCTCAGACAGAAGGGGCCAAGGGCGGAGAGTGCCCAGGCCCATGCCAGCCAGCCAGCCTCAGCAACTGCTCTGGTTCACGTTTCCTGCCATCCAGGTTCAGACAGAGGCGGCAGGCGCCCCCCCCCACCCCCCGTCGCCAGTCACCACATCCTCTCTGCGGCCGGCCCTCCCACGCTGGGTGGATGTCGAGCGGTAAATGGGCACAGAGCCCTGTGGGCGCCGGCAGGTGATGGCTGGTTGGGGCTCAGCGGGAGACCTGTGTGTTTTGCAGGTAGGGCCAGACGCTCCCTGAACCTGCTCCCTGGGTCAAGGGCTCCTGATGGAAGACCAGGAGGCCAGAGTGTGGCTCCAGGGACCCCCTTGCTCACACACACGCCCCCACCCCCCAGCTGGGCCCCTTGGCCGGGAAACGCTGCCTGGTGTTGTCATTCTGACAGCGGCTCTGCCCCACCGGAATTGTTTCCTGCACACCTGGTGAGCGGGTGCAAGTAACTCCCGGAGGGGTAGAGGTTTCGAGGGGCTTGTCACCCACCTTGAAGTCTCCACTGTGACTCATGTAGAGGGGCTGGAAGAACTGCTCCGGGCTGGGCACCTGCACCCACTCCTTACACAGCCTGGGAGGGCAGACACGGGGTGAGTAGCCAGCACCACCCCCAGGGCGCAGCCTCCCATGTAGGTGCTCCCCGACTGTGTCCTGCAGGAGACTCGGCCCCTCCAGAAACACACCTGGGCACCCCCCTTCCGGTCCTTTCCCCAAGGGCCTCAGTTTCCCCGTCTGTATAATGGGGGCAGCAAGTCTCGTGAAGGTGCCCAGAGTTTAGGTCCTTGGCTGTCTATTCTCTGCTGGGCAATCGCTGCCCCTTCTAAGCCTCCTCCGCCACGCCACCAGGGATGCCACAGGGGTGTGCGGAGCCCTCGGTGGGTGTCCGCACAGCGCCCCGCTCCCCGGCAGCTAGAGAGTGCCCCGTGCTCTCTGCTATTATTCATGTCGCTCTCTCTCCCCTTCCAGCTCCCTGGCTCTGGATGCAGATGAATAAACTGAACCGGGGGTGCAGATCCCCCGTCCAGGGCTCAGCATGTGGTAGCGGCACTTCCTGCCTCTGCCAGCAGCACTCATGAAGGCCAAGGGCGTTTAGGTTTTAATGTTAACCGGTGGCAACCTCCAGCACGAACCCAACTTATCAACAGATGAAAGCAAAAGCTGTGGTAGGAGCAGAAGGGATGGGGGGGGGTTATCACCCCCACCTTCCACCACTACCTGGCGGCCCCACATGCCTCCTCCCCCTACCCCGGACTCAAAACTTCAAATTCACCAGACAAGATCATATCCTACGTCCCGGTCATGAGCACAGGCTCAAATTCCACCTCCTCTATTTCAGAGCTGTGTGGCCTTGGGCAAGTTCTGTGACAGCTCTGGGCGTCCTTGGTTTCCCCATTTGTCCATTGAAAGTCATCGCCAAACACCCAGCTCAGAGGGCTAATGTGAGGGGTAAGTGGGCACCCCCAGCTGCAGCGGCTCCGTAAACAGGAGCTGCTTCTTATCACTGTCATTGTCATTACCACTTGTGTCCCTCACCCCCACACGGCCCTAGAAAGGCAGGAGGCCAGGCTGAACCCCTCCTTGCCTCCCTGAATCCCTGGCCTCACCTCCAAGGCAGGTCAATCTTCAGCCCTAGGAAGACTATGACTATGATGACCAGGAAGATATACAGCAGGTGAATGTGGCCGCCTCCCTTTAGCTCTAGGAAGGAAGCAGACAGTGTGTAAAATGGAGCCAACCTCTATCAGAGGCCACAGGTGGCGGGCGTGGCGGTCAGTGAGTCTGGGCCAGTGTGGGGGGCGTTGGGAGGCTGCTGGTGCCTTGAAGGGAGAGGGGCTGGGTGCCTGCTCCCACCCCGCCCCAGACGAGTGACTTCACCTCTCTGAGCCTCCGTGTTCTCATCTGCAAAATGGGTATAGAAAAGCCCACTGCATGGAGTTCTTCAGAGCCCCGAATACCTCCCAGGAGTCATACCTACCTTCCGGCGGGGTGTGAAAGGTGACTGGGTCACTCCACTCGCTCCAGGTCCCCTGGAAGGAAGAGCCAGGCTGCGGCCCTGATCGCACCTGGAACTCATAGTCCGTGTCACGGCGGAACTCCAGGGGAAGGAGGGAGACGCTTCTGGAGTCCACCGATATCAGCTTTCTCTGCGGACTCTGCCGGCACAGGGAGAGGACGCACCGGGTCAGCTCAGGCCAGCTCCCCACCCCTGCAGCAGAAGCACCCTTTACCAGCTGCCACGGAAGGGCCCGAGTCCGGGGCCCCTACAAGGAGCAGGCTCAGCTTGAGTCCCGCCCACTGCAGGGGGCGGGACACGGAGCCGTGGGCACTGCCTATACCTTGCATGTCATTCAACGCCTTGCTCCTGTTTCTCTGTCTGCCGGGGCAGGGGCCCTCGCTGCGGGGGCTGGGAGTGCCCCGAGAGCAGCAATGGCCCCTCCTGGGCATCTTTAACCAGCAGCTTTCCAGACAGCGGGCATCTTTGGGATTCTGGAAGTTTTCCACCACAGGCATCCCGCACGGGTGCCTCTGGACGCCTCCCACTGGGCACATCCCAAACAACCGCATGTTTGGAACTCTTCAAGTGGACCCCTCTGAAGGATGGATGGTTCTAGAAGTCTTCAGACATGACTGGGCCATTTGGGAACTCTCCAACACTCTGAACAAGGACACCTCCTGAAGCCTTCAGCTCGGAAACAATGGTCCCTTCAGCACTGGACCTTCTTGGTTATTGAAACTTCCAGAGCTTTTCAGCTGTGGCCATTCTAAGCGAGGTGGGAAGGTTTCAGATGGCGCTCATTTATGAAACTGCCTCTCCTGGGACTAGGCTCAAGGAAGCCTGAGGAAATGGCAGCCCCTTCCCCTCTGGCCCGCTGTCTCTAGAAGCCCCCTTCTCACAGGCAACTGGGCTGCCCTGCCCTGCGCCTCCCCTCCCCTCTGTCCCCCGACTCTCTGTGAGCCTCTCACCAGAGCCCAGGGGTCTCCCTGCTTCCTGTACCGCAGTTCATGTTGCAGCTTGCCCTTCAGCGGGTAGGAGTCATGATTGGAGTCCCAGGAGATGTTGTAATGTTCCGAGAAGGTCACGGTCACGTTGAAAGGGGGGGACGGCTTGACTGAAGGGAAAAAGCCAGAAGGATAAGAAGGGGTGAGACTGGGCAGCAGCTGAGGATGATGTGATGGCGGGAAGAAGTTCCCCGAGCCCGACTGGGCGATGCTGAGGTCGGGATCCGTGTCCCTCCGCCCTCCTCCCAAACCCAAGTGACTCTGGGGGAAGCAGCCCCTGTCTCCGGTCCTCAGTTTGTTCATCCAGGAAATGGGAGGTTTAGACTAGCTAGGGGTTGTACCCGCAGGAGCAGGAGGGTAACAGAAGTGGGCGAAGCCTGTCTGGGAACTGAGGCCACGTAAAGAGCCCTCCCAGTGGAAAAGGGGAAATCCCAGATGGGGGAGCGCTCTCTTAAACACTCAAGTAGCCACTAATCTAAAACCTTGCTAAGCAACGTGTTAGCCAGAGACACCTGTACCCCGTTTCTGATATCATTTTCTCTCCGCTCCAGCTTCCCTGAGAAGCTAAAAGTCCTTGATTAGCATTCGTGCTAATGAGCCATCATTAATATCAATTAATGTTAATATGTTATCGTTAATATTAATTAATGCTAATGACAACAGCCATCACTTCCCACAGGGCTGTCTGCACAGCACTTTGATCATTCTCAGTGGCCGTGAGTTTGGTGCGACTGCTACCCCAGCCTTCTGTAAAGTACAAGAGCAGAGGCCTGAGTCACCCCCCCCCACCCCTCGGTACCCCCCCACCCCTGGTGAAGATCAAGGACAGGCATCCTGTTCTGCTCTATCCCAAATGTGTTGCCTGAACTTGAGCCTTCATTTCCTCTCATAAGAGGGCACCAGCCCTCCTCTTTCATGGCGTGAAAATTCTCGGGGACCAAACTAAGTAGCAGGAGGAGGTCCCTTCCAGGGTAACTGAGTGACAAGTGTAAGACAGAAGCGATAGGCTCCCACCACCCGCCCCCGCCCTGTTTTCTTCTTCTTCTTCTCCTTTATTTGCCAGCATTGAACATTCTATACCCTTCCCTGCTGTGATCTGTTCTCCATCCGCCCCTTCTCTGGGATCTAACTGCATCGGGCGGAGATTTTTCTCTTCTGGGTCAATGTCAATGTCATGCTCACCGCTCCCAGGACAGAGCAGGCAAGGATGCGCCCTCGAGAATATTTGTAAATCAGCAAATGAATCTTCCAGGGGTTGCAGAAAGGAAGCGTAAAGCTGCTTTCTCTCTGCCTCAGGTGGGCGAGGGCGCACATTCCCGGAGGCTCTAAGGGTTTTGCTGTTTGGGTGAGAGCCCCCTTTGGACCGGACCCGTTCTTCAACCCTCTTCTGTCTTCCCCAGGCTGGGTGCAGGCCTGGTTCTCAGCTGCCCTGTGTGGCCTGGGCGGGGTGGTGTGGACCAATTCACGGAGGAGCTCAGAGGTTTGCAGAACCGGCGTCGAGTAAGGGGGCTGCTCGGCCCAGGGGGGCCCAGTGCCCGGGAGGAGGAAGGGGCCGGGGACCCTGCCTCCCGCCACCTCTGGGCTCAGGCAGGGAGGCCGGGACAAAGACAGAGGTGACTGGAGCCGTTTGTAAGGCAAAGCAGCTCCTTCTCCGCGCTGCACTCTGCTCTCCCGGTCCCGCTCAGAGGCAGGACGGTGACCCTGCTCTGTAAGCTGGCCACGCTGGGATCCGAAGGGCCGAATGAGCATGTGCGTGCACGTATGTGTGTGTGCAAACACGCGTGTGCACCCGTCTGAGACAGAAGGTGAGCATCTCTGTCCATGCTGTCCTGCCCAGGGGTCGATGACACATCTGTGCATTTGCGGGTGTGCTTATGAGTGTGTGCGCATACACGTCTGGGTGTGTCTGGGTACGTGTGAGGCTTTGCTCACCCCCTCTGTGTGCAAAGTGGTGCTGGCCCCCCTGAGTGTGAATGATGGGTGACCTTTTGTCTTCTTGCCCCACCGCTGGGAATCTGGGAACACAAACTTCCACACCTCAGGGGCTGAGCCTTCCCAAGGGCAGGCCCCTCATGGCGGCCTGTCTGCATGCCTCTGGGCACGGGGCTCTCACTGGCTCCCTGGACACTGCACTTTGGGTACACACACACACACACACACACACACAGCTGCTTCCTATGCCCTTCCTTGCATCCCCTCTCCCCCAGTTCTGGACCCATCAAAACGACTGCTTACACCAGCCAGCCAGGCCCCCTCCTTTCCTTCAGCGTGGAGGGAAATCCTGGGCCTAACACACGGGAGAGACCTCAGGGAAGTTTTCTCTTGTGACACAGTCTCCCCCACTTGCCTGGGGACAGAGTCGCAGAGAGTTGGGATTTAAAGGGCCCTCATTCTACAAAGAGCGAACAAGTCCAAGGTCACCTACGGGCCGGTCGGGGGCCCCAGTCCAGCCCCGTTTCATGCCTCTGCTGCCTGTCTTCGGCTAAGGCCCAAACCTAGCTACCAACCCAGCACAACCTGGCCATGCATCTGCAAACTCTGAGGACAATAAGGACATAGGACAGGTCAGTGTGGACGAGGGGGGAGGGCTGGCCCCGGGCGCATGGGGCCCAGCCCCCACCTGGGCTCCCCTGGGCTCCGGGGCCCGAGGGATACTCACTGCTCTTAGCCAGGACAAAGCTGCCACACTCCTGGGAGTAATTGCCAGATTGATCTGTCATGTTGACGCTGAAAATGTCGTCGGCCATGAAGTGGAACACGTCCATGTGGCACGTGTACTCTGTGTGCGTGGCATTGTGCGTGGACCGGCGGAGGCTGCAGGAGGTGACCTCGTCCACAAGTTCTCCGTATAGGTCTTGCCTTCAAGGACAGAGCAGCCAGTCACGGCTGGAGGCCAGGGGGGCTCAGCGCACAGAGCCGGGGTGGAGGGCCAGGAGGGATTGGAGGTGAGGCTGGGGGTCACCTGGTCCACCAGCACTTTCCCAGGGAAGGTGTTACCTCCCCCGCAGCATCCCTAATGGACTGTGTCCAGGCTTGGCTTGCATGCTTCAAGGAACCAGGAACTCACCACCTCACCTAGGGTAGGAAACCTCAACTTGCCGAGACTGAGCCTAAATCTATCCCTGTCAATTCCATCCACTGGATCACTGTCCAGGATAAGGGCCAGAGAAACCTCACCCCCTGCTCTGGGTGAGATTCCAGGGAGGCTGTGGACTGTGGGGTCGGGCAGGGGGAGGGTACTGCTCTGGCCTTTTAACTCCCACTGAGCAATACATGATGGGTTTTGAGGTGTGTATAGGACTTCACGAGGTATTTATTTCCCTACCTCCACCTTCAGGCTCTGAACATGACCACCCTTCAGGGCCACTATGGATGTGTGGACTCTGTTCTTTGCTAAATATTTCTTAGGATAGAACCTTCTGCTCAATAAATGCACAACTCTTCTTGCACAGGAGCCTGGGGGACCTTGAAAAACTCATCACTCACAGGCCTAAGCCCCTCCAGTGACTTCTCACCACCCCTATGGGTGCCTGCCTCTCACCTTCTTTGCTCGTCATTCTGCCTCACGTGGACTCACTCTCATCCGGCCACACTGACTGCATTGTTATTCCTCAAATCCAGCAGACATCCTCCCCCCCCCCCCCCCCCCCCCCCCCCCCCGGACCTTTGCACAGGCAGCGCCCTCTGCCTGGAATGCTTGCTCCCCTGCTCCCTGGCCGCTCCCTCATCTGAGGCGGCCTGTCCTGACCATCTGTCCCCACATCACCCGCTCTGTGCCCCCGTGGCCCAGGTTCCCGGTCCCTTTCACTGCTATCAGACAGCAGCCCAAGGCTCGTCTGTGTGACTGCCGTCTGTCTCCCCAGGCACCCCCCACTGCAGAACTTCCCGGCCTCACTGGCCTTGGGCTCTGCTGGGCCCCCAGGGCCTAAGAGCGCCTTGCAGGAGCTCAGTAATGTGCTCTGAACGAATGCATGAACGCATGCGCGAACGAATGAGTGAATGAATCCATGATGACAGCGGAAAGCCAGCTATTCCAGATCCGGAGCAAAGGATGTACAGAGCCCCTCCCCCTGAGCGAGCTCTGCTCCACCCCCTGAGCTGTGTCCTCCACTAGGTCCTGAGCGCTGGGCTTCGTGTCATCTCCGCATTAATTAGGGCAAGACCCCTGCTAAGTCAGATGGGCCAGAATCCAGCTCCACCCCTGTCCTGGAGGTCTGATGAGGCTCCTCCTCCCCCCTCCCCCCCATACGGGGTGACATCTGACCAGCCCGGGCGCCTTAAGCAAGAATCTGTTACATCATTTAGCGCCTTACCCTTGATGCCTTCTCTTGGTAATTTTCCATCCACTGACCCCAGCTGCTCCTGGGCTCTAAATCCCCACTCATCCTTGTATTTGGGGTTGAGCCCGACCTCTGCCCCCCACCCCTACCCTGCAAAACCCCAGACAGCAGCTCCTGTGCCTACCTGTGGGCAGTGGTCCTGAATAAAGCCTGCCCCACCCATTCTTAAATGAGGATCCTGAACAAGTTTTCCTTTAACAATACAGACTAACAGGGACCGGTGGGTTTGGAATCAGGCTGCCTGAGTTTCAACCCCAGCTCCACCACTCGCTGGCTGTGTGACCTTGGGCTCCACCACTTGCTGGCTGTGTGACCTTGGACAAGTTGCATCACCTCTCTGAACCCCAGTGTCTCCATGTGTAAAATGGGAGTAATAATTGTGAGGATTGGAGGTGATCATTCACATGGAACACATAGCAGGTATCCGCGAGGCACTAAGTGCTCAAAAAAAAGAGGGGCGCCTGGGTGGCTCAGTCGGTTAAGCGTCCGACTTCGGCTCAGGTCATCATCTCACGGTTCGTGGGTTCGAGCCCCTTATCGGGCTCTGTGCTGACCGCTCGGAGCCTGGAGCCTGGAGCCTGTTTCAGATTCTGTGTCTCCCTTTCTCTCTGCCCCTCCCCTGCTCACGCTGCCTCTCTCTCCTCTCTCTCTCTCTCTCAGAAATAAATAAAACATTTAAAAAAAAAAAAAGAATCATGTGGGAGTCTGGTCATCGCGGGCCTCAGCATTACCATCGGGCTTGCGTGGGCTGGAGAGTACGGTTTGGAGCTGGACAGAGCAGCCCCGTTCCTCTCTCAAGCGCATGCTCCGGAAGCATCCCTGAGCCCCGTGCGGCCCTCCAGGAGACGCCCGCGATTCCCAGCTCAGCTTCTCTTGGGGCAAAACCACCGGCTACTGGCAACATTGCTGACAGGTCCCTCTGGAAGTGGCGGCTGTTATTTAATTGCCAAACCACGTGCCCAGCCCATTGTGGGTCCAGCTGGGTCTGTGGTCTCCTGTGGCCCCGCTCCACCGCAGCCCCCCCGATGTCCTGAGCAGCACCCCCCAGGGCCGCCAAGGCACGTCCACTTACCAGGTGAGGGTAAGCGTGCCCGGGTGCAGGGTCCATGTCTCCAGGGTGCAGGTGACTGTCTGGAAGTAATCAGTGTAGCAGACGAGGTCCAGGCAACCCCAGGCTGGAAGGTTGGGGACAGAGAGGCCGTGGTGGGGGGCTGGCCAGAGGGCGAGTGGAGCCTCACTCCTTCACCCCCTCAAGGGCTGGAGGGTGAGTGAAGGCAGGAGTCCCAGGGTCAGGACGAACATGGCAACCCAGGAGCCACTAAGATGTGGGCCTGGGGAAGGGGGTCTGTCCCTGCCACCTAGAAATTCCTCGTGTGACCCCCGAGTTTCAAGACTAGCTATGGAGACAGGACATTCTGGATGTGAAACATAACCTAAGCAGACCCCCCCAGCCCTCTCCCTGCTGAACCCCATGTCCAGCCACCAGCTCTGAGTCCCTCCTGGCCAGTGTCCCTCTCGGTGGCATGTCCTGAACTCCCCAGATGCAGGGGCGAATCTGCAAGTCCTGCGAGAGGGATGTGAAAGGTCACCGGGAACACAGCTGGAAAATGCTGTGTTCCCCCAACAAGGAGGAGACCTCTGCTTCACAACAGCTGGTGCAAGACAGGACAGGGACCTCCATGGGGCTGGAAGGGCGTCGAAGGAGTAAGAAAATATCCCCAAACCAAGAAGCCTTCAGTCTGGGTGACTCTGTCAGTTAAGAGTCCGACTTCGGCTCAGGTCATGATCTCATGGTTCATGGGTTCGAGCCCCGCATCGGGCTCTGTGCTGACAGCCAGCTCAGAGCCTGGAGCCTGCTTCAGATTCTGTGTCTCCCTCTCTCTCTGACCCTCCCCTGCTCATGCTCTGTCTCTGATAAATAAATGTTTGAAAAAAAAATTAAAAACAAAGAACAAGAAGGCTTCAAATACTTTTGCCAAAATGTATTCTCCCTCTGGACAAACCACTGCCACTGCCAAATGACACAGGCCATTTTGTTGGGAGATTCCATGCTCTCCTACCTCCAACATGAATTGCTCCCCTTGATTCTAAAAGCATAGGTGCAACCACAGCCTAAATTCACATACATGTCTGACAACATTTAATAACTTTTAGCTCAGCTTTGTTTCGTAAGATCAAGTGCCAACAGTACCATTTCCCCTGCCCCCAACCCCTCAACTATTTACCAGAAATGTGTTCCCCTTTTTAAGTGGATTCATTCTTAGTGGCTTTTTCCTATTTTTCCTTCACTACTGAAAACCCAGGGGGCCTCAGGTTTAGGTCAGAAGCCAGATGTGGGGCCGAGGAGGCCGTCGCCAGGAAATCCGTCAGCAGCGGCCACCCCATTTTACAGCTGAGACCCTGGAGGCCTGGGCCACACCTCCTGTCACTCTGGGTCTGGATCTGGGTCTGGGTGGTGGAGACCCTCACCCAGGAAAGGAAAATCTCATCTGACTACCTTCTGACGTCTGCAGACACTGCAGGCATTACTAATCGATCACAGCACTCGCTCTCTCCCTTCGGTGACCCTCAGAACCCTCCTCAACACAGTTCTCCCTGGGGCCACCACCAGGGACCTGAGTTGTGGTAGGGGGGCCAGCTCTGAGAGGAGGGGGAGCCCAAGGCCTGCTGGTGGGCATGGGGTGGGGGGTGCAGCACGGGTTGGGGGGGCAGGCAGCGCAAACACTCGGAGAAAACCTCTTTTCTCTTGCCCTAGGCGGGGCCTAAACCCCGGGGCCACAGAGGTCATGGTGTTGGCCTCATCTTCTCCCAGTTTATGCCCTGGTTATTCACCCTCATGATTCCAGAACTTGGAGAGGAGCTGCCGTTCCCAGCTAAACTCGAGGTCACCAAGGGACACGGTGTGTCCCAAACTTGACGTGAAACACTGGGGAGGGGACAGCAGCCATTAAACCGGCGTGGACGTGGCATCAGGGACCCAGTCACCTGGCCAGTCGCCCAGCCCCAGGGTCATCCCTTGCCCCAGGGCCAGCAAAGTACGCAGGAGGCGGGAGAGGCCGGGAAAGCGGGCATGTGACTCGTGACTGCTCCAAGTCCCTGTTTGTGAGCCAGGGACCCTGGCCCCTGTGGAGGGCGTGGGGTTATGTAGGTGACACCATGCTGGTGCAGAGTGCGCTGCCTGCATGGGGCGCTGATTCAATTAAAGCAACAAAGCAAAGAGGCTAAGCCCACGGGGGTGAGGCAGCCTTAGGATTCCAGCTGTGCTGCTGCCTGGCTGTGTGACTGTGGGCCGGTCCCTTAACCTCTCTGAGCCTTGGTGTCCTCGAGTGAGAACTGGACGTCCCGGCAGCACGGGCCGCACGGGGCAGTGAGGGGATGCCGGCACCTGGGACACCGCGGGGGACGGTTATTTGCACCCACGGGGCGGGGCACCCTGGCGGGTGACCTAGCACGGGATGCTGGTCACTCAGAAGAGGAAAATAAAAGAGCCAGACATCTGTTTCCTGAAGCAGCTATTTGAAGCGCTGGGTCTTTTTGGTAAAAACCAGAGAGAAATTCAGAGTCAGCAGAGAGGCAGCTGAGGGACCCCTGCTTCCAGTCCAGCCCCCATGTGAGCCTGGAGGCTGCGTCCCGCCTCCTCTGGGGAGGCTTCCTGGATTTCTCAGCCCCGGCTGTGCCCCCAAGCCAAACTGCTGGCCTTTCCCAGCCTGGGTCTCTGACTTCTCTCCCTCCGGCTACTCTGGTCTCCCCCTGCGCTTTCCCCCCACTGGGGACCATCCATGATTGATCCTATGATTGCTGAAAACCATCTCTCAGGAGAGTCATTCCATGGAGAGAAACTGCGGTTAGCCCAGAGGCAGGACTTCCTCACCCTGAGGAGTGGGAGCTGCAGAAAGGAAGGATCAAGTCTCTTATCGCCTCAGTGGGACCCCAGCTGGTGACCTGGGCCACGCGGGACTCCCACTAACCACTTCTGGCTGACGGAGCTCTGCGGTTGGACGGGGTCAGGTTGAGGGCACAGACGCCACGGCCCCTGCCCCGGGGCTTGTAGTGGTTCCCTGGGTGCCACAGCCATCCCCATCCCCACCCCCCGCAGACCTTGGGGACAGCTACTCACCACCCTGGAGCACCAGCAAGAGCAGAGGGGCCGCCCCGCCCCGCGGCATGCTGCCTCTCGGGGTCCTGGAAGAGACGCACAGTGAGAGGGCGGTCCCAGGCCCGGGGACAAGGGACCCTGAACAGCCTCCCTCCCTCTGGTGCTTTCCCTCCCTTGGAAGACCTGTCTCCAAGATTCTTAGAAGAGCAAGAGTTTGAGGAGCCCGTGGACACTGCCAAGGCTTCCCACCCCGCGAACCCCACCTCCCCCACTTTCCTGGCCCCTCACACGGTCCCCAAAGAGAGGCGGGGTTAGAGGGGGAGAGGCTTGCTGCACTCCTGTCCCCAGACACCTATGACGGCGGTACTGCTGTGCGCTGTGCAGGAGATTAAACGTGGGCATTTATCCCTCGAGGAAGAGAGAGGCGGGAGGCAGGGCGGGAAACTGGTTCGAAAGCGGTATTTGACAATAGAGATCGTGAGTCCTTTTTGCCCACGAAACATCTGCGTGGACGTGAGTGTAGTGGGAGACATGGCTCCTCACTGAAGAACAGACCCAAGGTTGGCCCACAGAGGCCCCTCCTGGATCCCAAAGATGAGGTTGGCCCGGAAACAAGGCTTCCCACTCGGACACAGAGCCCAGGCTAGTGAGTGCTCTAGAAAGTCCGCGGGGAACCCAGGCCGGCCCCGACCCAGAGGCGAGTCCGGACCCCCGGACCCAGCCGAGACAGAGCAGAGGCCTCTTTGGAGACCGGCACGGCCTGCCCAGGAGGAGTGGACACTGGTGCCTGAGGCAAGGGCCACCCACCGGGCTGGCAATGCCAGGCCCTTGGGGGCACTTTGCCCACTGCACCCCAGCTCTGTGTCTGCGTACAGAGGTGGCAGCCGGAGGCCAGGGGGTTCGCCGCTCAGGCCCAGGGGCCCCGCCCAGACTGGCCACTGGGGTCAAGACCGTAGCTGGAATGGGAGCCTAGAGGGATGACCCCGGCGGGAACCGAGCTGTGTGTGTGGCTTCTTCCAGACAGCATCCCTGAGCCCGCACCCCCTCCCCATCTCAGGTTTACCCAGTCCCTACTCTGGCCCTGCTCAGTGTTCCCCCTGCATTCCCTAACGAGTCACCAAGCAGGCAGTGGCTGAGAGGTTTGGATCACCGGCCGTGTGGCTCCGGGCTGGTCACTTCCCCTCTCTGAGCCCTAGAGAGATGGGAAAGCCTGCTTCCCGGATTCTTGTGAGAGTTCAAAAAAAGCGTTTTGCAGAAAGCCCTGGACATGGCCCCTGACACACAGCCACTCAAGACACAGCTGTGACTGGTAGAGAATTTAGAGCATCAGACATCGAGGGACCCCGAACACTCTAGCCAAGAGGTCCCTAAATTTCTCACTTTCAAAATATAAGCCATATTTGTAGACCGTGTGTACTGTTGTTTATTTAATGTTTTCTATGAATGAGCTCACTTAAAAAAACCTAGCTCCAGCAGGGCGTCTGGGAGGCTCAGTCAGTTAAGCATCTGACTCGATCTCAGCTCAGGTCATGCTCTCATGGTTCGTGAGTTTGAGCCCCGCATCAGGCTCTGGGCTGGCAGCTCAGGGCTTGCTTGGGATTCTTTCCCTCTCTCTCTGCCTTCCCCTGCTTGCTCTCTCTCTCTCTCTCAAAAATAAATAATAAATAAAAACTTCAAAAATATCTAACTCCAGACTCATCCTAAGCAATAAAATCCATAGCTGTGTATTTTTTTGTAACTCGCCTTAAAAATAAATAACATAGCTATTAAGATAAAATAAGGGTGGTCGGTGAGCAATGGGTGTTGTATGTAAGCAAAAAAAAAAAATCACTGAAGTCTGTACGTTAACTAACTAAAATTTAAATAAAAAGAAAATAGAACAAGCTAAAATAAATCATGTTGGAGCAAAAAACTTTTAAATCTGCTTTAAGGCACCTTGACCTTGCCTGGACCAAGTCCTGTAGGAGCCCTTGATCACATGTTGAGGATTCACCTCTCCTCACAGGGAGCGGGGCTTGTACCATATCCCCCCCTCCCGGGCATGTCCCGCTCCACAGATGGGTACCTGACCAGACCTGGCCAAGACAGCACCCCACCTGCTTGGCCGCTTTGAATGGGTCAGGGATGGATACCGACCCAAGTGCGGCAAATGAGGACAGTCTGGGATATTTCATGAACTCTTGTACAAAGAGGTACTTTTCTGGCTGCCTGGTGGAAGCTGATAGTCATCTCTGTCCCCCCTTGAGGAGAGCCTGCCTGAAACCTTCTCAAAACCTTCGAAATACAAATCCAGAGTCCTTGTGGCATTATTCGAGGAGCTGGATCCAGCTATATCTGATGTCCACCTCTGGACTTTTTATTTATAGAAGCTGGAAGAAAAAAAGCACACCCTATTTTGCTCAACCATGTTGGATTATGTTTCTGTTGCTGGCCACCAAAGATACCTGATATAGTGAAATAGAGCAAAGGGCCCAGAATTTGAAGCCAGAGTATCTTGGAGCAAATAATAATAACAGCTTTTCTCTGGTCGTTTCTTCTCTCTGACCTCGGTTACTATCTCTAAAATGGGGACAATCATGCCCACTGCACCTGGCAGTTAGGGTCAGTGGAAAACAGATGTGACAGTGCTCTGTGAACTGTAAAGTATGACACAAGGGTGCTGGGTTCTTACTGACCAGCTTCTGTGAATTACTCAGCACCCCCTTAGCACCTGAGGCCCCACCATGCCTCTCTGCCTTTGCACAAGGCAAACTCTTGTGCTGAGTCTTCTCCTTGAACACCTTTCCCCCTCCCGGCCCTCTAAACTCAGTCTTCATGGCCGCCTTGCTCTACCTTTGCATGTATGAAGCCGCATTGGAATGTTCCAGAACTCCTGCCACTTACTGCCTTTAAGGTTTTTACTGGCGCTATTATCTACTTGCTAACGAACTTTACCTTGCCTTCCATTTTTGGCTCCAATAAACATGTCCCAAAAGAAAATAAGTCCCTGCCATCAAAAGGTAACAGGTATGAAATCAAGAGACCGTGTGTACCTCGGTGGTTAAAACACAGACTCGCGGCCGGCCGGCCTCAATTCAAACCCCAGCACTGCCATTTACAGGCGGTGTGACCTCAGGGAAACTTCCTGGGCCCCAGAGTCCTCATCTGTGAAATGGAGATCATCCTAACACTACCCACCTCAGAGGGACCTTGGGAGAAGTACATTAGTCAGAATTTGTAAAGCTCTGGGAACCGTGCCCAACACAATTGTAGATGTTATGTGTGTGTTTCTTAAACAAAATGGTTGGTCAGCTGTAAAACTAAATACAAGGAAAACAAAAGACAGTAACTGAATTTGAGGGAGATGCCATCTCCTGCTTAAAACTTACAAGTGGGGAAATCCAATTTGCGTCCATTTAAAAGGAGGATTAAAGACTATCAAAGAGGTGTCGAAGGCAAAATAGTACCAAATTGAGATTCTCACCGCCTCTCGGGTCAGAGGATTAAAAGAAGATAGAAAAAGGTCGAAACTTTTCATTTTGAGGGTGCAGGGACATTTAACACCTAAAATGAGCCGCTCGGTTTGGGAAACGACAGCCTCAAATGTGAAAGGCACGGAGCAGATACCCATCACTCTCCCTGCCCCATGTCTGTCCCTTTGCAGGCCTTCTCTCAGGCCGAGTCCTGAGGACAACAACACTTTCTCTCCAAGGACACACCAAAGCACCAGGGGCGCCCTCTGAGCGAAGGGCAGAAGGTACCCTAAGCCCCTTCCTGCTGTGGGACCCGCTGCGGCGGCGCCTACCTCTGGGGTCTCCTACAGAGGAATGCAGGGTGCCTGGTGTAAAGTTGGCCGGATCCCAACTGTGCGTCCTTGGGCAAGTTCCCGGCCCCTCTGATTCTCTGTGTTCTCATCTGCAAAATGGGGTCATGCTTCTTTGCTGCAGGTGTGTTGCAAGTACTAAATCCATCCTTGCCTGTGGAGCGCGGGGGCACAGTCCGGGATGGAATGGAGCCCTGGAGGGGTGTTTATCCTCCAGGCTCGGAGTTCAGGGGACTAGGAGTTCAGACTTAACAGTCATCTTTCGTGAGGCTCTAGGGAAGTGGAGTCGCTTGCACGTAGGAAATCAGCTTGAAGCAGGTGCTCCGGGACCAGAGAGCGCTCAACTTCACAACCAACAGAGAAATGCAAATAAAACCCACAATGACACACCGTTTAATTTTAGGAGGTTGGTGAAAACTCAAAGTCTGACAATATCACATGTTCTGAGGACGTGGCGTCATGGGAACACTTAATGACGGTGAGTGGAAATGTAAGTTAGTGGTCTGGAAAATCATTTGGCGTGGTCTAAAGCATTTGAGCAAGGGCTTGCACTAAGGCAGCCATTTCACACCTATGGATGCCGCTGATGAAACTCGGGCACACGTGTACAAGAAGCACACACAGAAACATCGAGAGCAGCATTGATTTTAATAGTGAAAACCGGAAACAACCTAAATATCCATCAACAAGTGGATGGAAAGATCAACTGTGATGTGATCACTCAATGTGGAAATGAATCCTAGGTCCACACAACAAAGCAAATGACTCTCACAAACAAAATGCACAGTGAACATAAAATAAAATAAGAATACCTGCATAGTAATACCATCGATGCCACACTTAACACTGTGTAAAACTGTTCTCTCTGTTTTGTTTAGGTGAACATACATGTGTCTTGGACATATAGAGAACTTCAAGGGGGTGATTAAAAAAAAAATCAAACATTGAATAGTGTAGAAAAGGAGGGGATGTGTTAGGGGTGGTATGCAAAGGTCTCAACAGTTTGGTAAAACTGAGCAAGGCTAGGGCACCTGGGTGGCTCAGTCGGTTAAGTGTCCGACTTCGGCTCAGGTCATGATCTCACAGTTTGTGGGTTCAAGCCCCACATCGGGCTCTGTGCTGACAGCTCAGAGCCTGGAGCCTGCTTCGGATTCTGTGTCTCCTTCTCTCTCTGCCCCTCCCCTGCTCATGTTCTATCTCTCTCTCTTACAAAAATAAATACACATTTAAAAAAGAAGAAAGTAATTTATTTCACTTAACAATAATATCAAAAAGAATAAAATA